AATAAGTTGTCCTAAGTTTTGTAATGTTCACATTAATTATTTTCTATTTTCAAAGAGCTGGACGGTCCTTTTATTTAAATGTGAAATCTTCTTTTCAAAGGAGTACGACATATTCTGAACCACTGGGTTCATGACTTCTCTCTGCAAATCCCTTCTGATGCAATGTACATTACAAGTAACTTAAGCCGGGACTTCCCAGGTAGGTGAGGCATTTAATATGCAAACGTAAACCTCCTGTCAACGGGCTATATACATATATGTAATTTCTTTAAAGCTGTGGGGGTAAAAAGGCTAAACGACGAGACTTTTGTAAACAGAAAAGACACTAAATTTAATTATATAACACCATAACAACGATTTAACATGGGCTGTCTGGGCGTGTATAATCCCGGTCTAAATAAACACACACTCCATTTTCATCTGACAATTATTGATGGGATAATATCGATATTTGATATCGTGTGAAAATTGCTTAGTAATGATTGCAAAAGTCGTGCATTAAAAAAGATGTCAGTGTCAACGATTTGCTGTACTATATCCAGGTAAACGTTGTCAGTATGGTTAACTCATACTCCTTATTGGGAATGATTTTCGACTTCTTCTGTTTTGCCAGAAAGCCTTCCATACTATGACCAGTACCTATGGTAAACCTGATTTACCATGTAGAACTCATATTTCTATGTTAACTTTTAACAGCAAATCTGCCATAATTGTAATGTACTTGTATTACATTATATCTATAGGTCTTTGAACCAATAGATATATAATGACCACAGGGACCTGAGAATTAGTGACAGTAGGTATATTTGGACCTATATATAGTGACCACAGGGACCTGAGAATTAGTGACAATAGGTATATTTGGACCTATATATAGTGACCATAGGGACCTGAGAATTAGTGACAGTAGGTATCTTTGGACCTATATATAGTGACCACGGGGACCTAAGAATTAGCGACAGTAGGTATCTTTGGACCTATATATGGTGACCACGGGGACCTGAGAATTAGTGACAATAGGTATATTTGGACCTATATATAGTGACCACAGGGACCTGAGAATTAGTGACAATAGGTATATTTGGACCTATATATAGTGACCATAGGGACCTGAGAATTAGTGACAGTAGGTATCTTTGGACCTATACATAGTGACCATAGGGACCTGAGAATTAGTGACAGTAGGTATATTTGGACCTATATATAGTGACCACAGGGACCTGAGAATTAGTGACAGTAGGTATATTTGGACCTATATATAGTGACCATAGGGACCTGAGAATTATTGACAGTAGGTATCTTTGGACTTATATATAGTGACCATAGGGACCTGAGAATTAGTGACAGTAGGTATATTTGGACCTATATATAGTGACCAAAGGGACCTGAGAATTAGTGACAGTAGGTATACTTGGACCTATACATAGTGGTCACAGGGAACCTGAGAATTAGTGACAGTAGGTATCTTTGGACCTATATATAGTGACCACAGGGACCTGAGTATTAGGGACAGTAGGTATATTTGGATCTATATATAGTGGTCACAGGGACCTGAGAATTAGCGACAGTAGGTATATTTGGACCTATATATAGTGACCACAGGGACCTGAGAATTAGTGACAGTAGGTATATTTGGACCTATATATAGTGACCACAGGGACCTGAGAATTAGTGACAGTAGGTATATTTGGACCTATACATAGTGGTCACAGGGACCTGAGAATTAGTGACAATAGTTATCTTTGGACCTATATATAGTGACCACGGGGACCTGAGAATTAGTGACAGTAGGTATCTTTGGACCTTTATATAGTGACCACAGGGACCTGAAAATTAGTGACAGTAGGTATCTTTGGACCTATATATAGTGACCACAGGGACCTGAGAAGTAGTGACAATAGTTATCTTTGGACCTATATATAGTGACCATAGGGACCTGAGAATTAGTGACAGTAGGTATATTTGGACCTATATATAGTGGTCACAGAGACCTGAGAATTAGTGACAGTAGGTATATTTGGACCTATCTATAGTGACAAACAATGAAACATATGAAAAGTGTGAAGGTGAAGGTGAGTTTAATCCTTTATTTGTTAATGAAGAAAATACCACAACAAATGGCATAACAATGTTTATTAGGACACAATGTTTTACTTCCAGTTAAGTAGGTATATTTAGATCTATATATAGTTTAACATGGGGCTCCCCATAGGTGGATTATACAACTATATATAGTCCATTACTGAGACATGAATTTTTAAACACTATAGTGACCACAGGGACTGAAATTATGACACTAGTTCTTTGGACCTATATATAGTGACCACAGGACCTGAAAATTCAAAGTATATTTCTATATATAAAAAGACATACCTGAGAATTAGTGACAATAGGTATCTTTGGACCTATATATAGACCAAAACCTGAAAATTGATGTGACAGTAGGTATATTTGCTATATATTGACCACAGGGACAGAAAGTGACAGTAGGTATGACTATATATATGACCACAGGGACCTGAGAAATAGTGACAATAGCATTATCTTTGACCTATATATAGTGACCATAGGGACCTGAGAATTAGTGACAGTAGGTATATTTGGACCTATCTATAGTGACAAACAATGAAACAGATATGAAAAGTGCGAAGGTGAAGGTGAGTTTAATCCTTTATTTGTTAATGAAGAAAATACCACAACAAATGGCATAACAATGTTTATTAGGACACAATGTTTTACTTCCAGTTAAGTACATCATTACTAGATCTAATTAAGTTTAACATGGGGCTCCCCATGGGTGGATTATACAACTATTTAGTCCATTACTGAGACATGAATTTTTAAACACTTGTAGACTGAAAACATGCAACTCAGTTCACTGATCTCAGTAAGAAACAAATCTGGACTTGCTCAATTCAAAGTTGTTTCATACCATGTATTTAAAAGGACAATAAGACATGTTTTGACCACACTCAGAAAAATCCTAGAGTTGATGTGTAAGATAGAATGTTGCTTTATTTCAAACAGAAAAACAAATGACAAAATATCAAACAGAAAGCCTTGATGTAAATAAGCATAGCATTAACTGATGTATACAGTTGTATGTAGAATAGCAGTTGACCTTAAGCAAAACTGGTAGGCATAATATGACATTCAAAAATTATATCTACAACATACACATTTGCTCAAACAGAAATGTTAAATTTCCTGAATCACAGATATACTGGGTAGAATACAACCTTAACTCAAATCCAAATCCTAGTCATAATTGTAAGGTACAATATACAGTAAGCTTTAGAATGAATCTCTATGTATGATTATGAGGTAGCATATAGCCTTAACTCAAAACTGAAACCAGGGGTATAATTGTAAATTGCATATAGAACAAACTCAAATTGAAACCCTAAGTATAATTGTAAGGTAGCATATACAAGTAGGCTTAACTTAAAATGAAGCCCTTGGTATAATTGTAAGGTAGCATATATCCTTAACTAAAACTGAGACCCTAGATGTAAGGTAGTATATTGCCTCAACACAACCCAAAGGTAAGATTGTAAGTTAGCATATGACCTTAACTTCACCTGAAACCCTAGGTATGAATGCAAGGTAGCATAGAGCCTTAAAGAAACTCAACCTTATGTAATACACAAATGATGTTTCTTGTATTGTGGTAATGTAATTTTCTATTTGTGAAGCAGGCATTTTGCAATGGGGTGTAAATTTCATGTTGAGTGAAAATTCTTGCAAAAAACTTTTGTATACAGGGGATGAAAAATAGGATGCAATGTCAACGATGGCCAGAAGAGATAAGACATGCTGATTTATGTCTGTTGAAAGCAATAAGTAATGAAAGTAGAAGCTGTCATAACCATTAGTTATCCAAGCTAACAATGTCAGTTGATGTAAAAGATATTGCCAGACTACAGTAGTGATGAGAGTGAGACAGGATTGGATGACAGTATCCCTACTGGATTCACAGACTGGAAAGAGGGATGTCAAATTGTAGTCTGTGTTGGCAGAGGTTTTATATCAGGGCTGTCCATGGTGCAATTCCAGCCTATTTCTTTTCATTGCAAAAGATACATATTTCAATCCAAAACACTCAGTGAAGCTATTGTTGGCAACAGAAGCAAGAAGATTATATCATTAGATGGGACAACACGAGTTATCTCTTGGTTTTATGTTTCAAAGCAGGTGGGTGGTACAGGCACCTCTGTTGAATGCAATCAGTTTATGAATGCCCAATAAATATATATGTATACATATCAGTTTACTGTTATTGAAGTATCAAAAAGTTTTCTTTATTATAATCGTATATATACTATCCAATCAAAACAAGTTTCACATAATTGCAAGGGAGACAACCTACCGCAGGAACAATTCTACATGTATATTACAAATGTTGGATGAAATCACTTCTGTGATATTTTGCTTCAATTTTTACTTTTGGTTTTTACAGCTATGTGCTATGTGAATGATTTCATTGTAAATACTGAAATCTGTCAGATAAATGTAAATATAACCCACTTTGTAAATATTGTTTTGTATATTTTTTCATTAATAAAATATTTGTAAAGTAGATATTGATTTCTTTCTTCAATTTATAGTTTCTTTATGTTTTCCCAAGAAATTTACAAGAAAAAATATAAAGAAAAAATTAAATTTGAAGAGTTTTTGACATTTTTCACCAAAAATGTAACTCACTGGAATGTATAGGTTTTCAGAAAATCACATACACTGGGTAAAATAATCATTATGTAAAAGTTTCAAGAAAATCTTGCTGTTTATTGTGTGAAAGTGTCAAGTCTCCTTAACTCAAACTGAAACCCTAAGTATAATTGTAAGCAGCATTTTGCCTCAACGGATGTAGAACTTGGGATAAAATTGGAGGGGGCAGCATATAGCCTTTACACAACCGTTTCTTTTTATATATATTTCCAAATTCCAAATTTGAACAAAAAGAACAGAAAAAAAACACTGAAATTTCCTTAAATGCCACCTATGACAGAAAAGGATCACACTATTTAAATTTGGGCCCATAATGTAAGTAGCTGCCATGGTCATGTATCATCTGTCATGTCATAAGCATTCACTTTTTAAATGTGATAGTAAAAGCTTAGGTTGTCAATGTAGATATTGAATGTATACAATGAGGTATGGTAAATCCTGAAAATTTGAATGTTGCCTCACCTTATAAAACACATGGAAGAAACTTTACCTGGCTGGTTAACATACAGCCAGTCAACATATGGTTAGTGTAACAAATTCAACAATACTGGTTCATGATAATATGTTGTTTGATTGTAAAACAACACAGAAAGAAAAATGTACCAACGATCTCTATGACATTCTGGTAAGTGATAACCAACCTGTCAATATAGAAGAAGGTAACATTCACTTATCTGTGTAATATATCAATGAAAAGATGATACTTTCAGAGGAATCTACTGGTAATATTAACAAATGTTTAAGGTGTGAACATTAACAATTGTTAAAGGTGTATAAAGTAGGTTTGTAGCTCAAATAATGTACATGATGCATTCAACATCAATGTTTACAAACAAGTACAAGCAGCTTTAGTCTGTCCGTGTAACTGATATTGCCCTATTCCTTTGTAACATTGGAATCAGACATTTTCAAGGCATTTGCTGTGATACAAGTTTTACCAGTAGACAGGAGGTAGCAAGTTAGGTATCATTGTACCTTTGAAATCAAATAATCAAATAAACATAATGGTATGGAGTATGAGGTTATTGACTTCTACAGACCTCTTGACTACTGTTGCCATTAAAATCCCTGCCTAAACATTTTGTACATGTCTGATGGAAGCAACATTAGAATAACATTGTGGCATTAATAGATCACTAAATACAATTATAATAAATATATTATGGTAACTACTAATTGTCATCAACTTGCGGCAGATTACAACAGAGCTGTAATTGTGACAACTTTTATTTTGCACACTACACATGATTTCATTTTAGAATTTCTTGCGGCATATGTCAATTTATACCAGATCATCAATTACCGGCATATACGAACTGATTTAAAGCAGTTATCACCATCAGAGTCATTTATGGTGATAGTCTTATAATCACATTTGTTATAGATGTGGTTTCACTACATTTCTAATATGACGATGTCACATTCAAATTTGATTTGCTGAAATTGTCATACAGAAAAAATATCATACATTTACAGTGGTACTGTTTATGTTGTTATTATGTATCTCAGTTTTCATTAAAAGTCAGATCAGGATTTCTTTAGCAGCATTAGGATCTGTGGCCATCAGTGTATAATAAAATATGGCCTGGTCATACACAGCTTTGTCTGAGGATGTGACACCAGTCTCCAGGACCTCACCGAGCATTCCCTGACAGATGCCAGGGTGGTGGAAAAACATCTGTACAGTGGTAGTCAGCACATGTAGCTGTACAAGAGGACTCATAACATTATCGTCACCAAACATTTCCAAAAAATCCTCCAGGATATATGGACTATCCCTTATTTTGTCGCCATAGCAACCGAGTATTGCCAGGAAGGCACATCTGCCAGCATCATCCTGAAGAAAGTTGATTTTGGTGGTGATCAAGTTAAGGAGGTCAGTGAATGCCTCCATATTGCGCATGTCTATGCGTTGTAAGACTTGAAGTGTGTTTGATAGAATATACCCCACATCCGTCTCAATCAGATGCTTGAATTTGGTAAAACAATGCTTGACAGTGGAGGGTTGGACCATGATCACTTTTCCCATGGCAGTGATTGCACTCAGTGAAACAGTCTTAGATGAATCAGTAGTATACAGACAGAGTTCATCTAGGATTTCACTACCATTTTCCTCAGTAACGAGTAAAGGTAACAAGCTTATTTTCTTCTGTTTGAGATAGCTAGGCTCTTTGTATTTACAAAATAGGTTTTTATATTGAGCGGAAATGACACTACCTGCTTTCTCCAAAAAATGTTCAAGTATTTCAATGACACAATATACAAGTTCATGATTCCCTGATGTTAAAACCGAGCAAATTCCTGTTAAACTTCTTTGTATCACTTCATCTTTTAAGTGAGGAAGATCCTCGACAAGGTGAGTGAACAATTTCAAACAAGCTAGAGACACACTACAACTATTATGGGACAAGTATTTATCCAACATATTCATGATATCAAAGGTTTCATCTTCTGACTTTGGTTTGTATTTGACCAAGATGTTCATTGTGTACATCTGTCCCCACGGAGTCAGACTGTCAAGCTTATTCAGCAGATAATGTGCAATGTTTTTATTGACTACCAAACCTCCTTCCTCCTTCAAAATCTCTTCCAAGGTCATGATGGCATTAACAGCTACAATAGGATCTGGATCCCTGATGATGTGGTAGAGTTTGTCTGTCAGTCCACTCTCCTGACAAATATTTGGAGACCTGTCGTGAAGCTTTCCACAACAGTTTACTGCAACCCGCCGCACATATGCACTACTGTCTGTCAGGGCTGAATTAACAGCACTCTGACCAAATTCGAAAAAGTTTTCATGATTGAGGGAACAAACTGTTTTCAAGGCCAAGCCACGGACCATTGGATTGCCGTTGGAGCATTCCTGTGTTAGTGTGTTAATTGCAAGTAAGGCTATGTCAGGCTGCTTGTGTGCATACTCTGTTAAAATTGAATACACAATCTTCTTTGCAATGAGGTCAGGGTGAGCTAAAAGCTTCAAAATCTTTGGAACCATGTCCGTCAAATCCATGCCATTTGTTTTTGCAGCAAGAACCTGAAAGATGTAACCATTATTTTTATCTGCAGAATGATAATTTTGAACAGTGTAATTGTAATAGAGACCAAGATTGAATGTTATGGTACCTACTGTAGTAAGATTATGAATTTTACAATATTCAATCTGAATATCATTCATACATCGTAACACATTAAAAAAAAACATGCAATAAAAACATCTAAAACAGTATGATATTAATCTGCCACCATGAAACCTCACGCTTTTTATAGTTTATCTAATGTATTGCATTTAACAATCTAAAACAAAAGAAGGTGAGATAAATAATCTTCAAGCACTATAAAGATGAATGCTGATAAATTTATGGTCTCAGAAATTTGAAATTCAAATCTCAGGGCATGTTGTCAGATACAGTTCTTTCATCTCTATAAGTGAATGTTTTGTTTTCATTTTATTATCAGGGTTATAATTGCGATAGCTTTATAAGATTGCATTGCCTTAAAGCATATTTCACCATGAAAATATGATTAAGTTGTGCTTTTTCAATTTACAGACCATGTTGATTTAAGACTAAGAAGTACTGACCTTGGCTAAAACTGCCCTGCAGGTCTGGACATCACTTTGTAGTGAGAGTGTGGATAGGCTGGATCTCAGAGACGTCAGGTCCACCACATGGACACTTTCCATCTGTCAGTCAGAAGTTGGACACTGATGCCATTCAGGTCTTATTTAGGTCATTCAGGAGTCACCCATCCTCTGCAACGATAAAAGGACAGAGATTTAGTGTCTTTATTAACATGTGTGACTCTTTTACCTACTTATCTACTATTTACCATCTCTGCCCGGATCTCTCATTTATATGCAATTCAAAACAACTGACATGATAAATAATGCCATGGTATGGTCCATCATAAACTTTCATTTGTTCAGAGATCTACTCCTGTAGTTTACAACCTATCTCTTTTAAATTTTGCATTTAAGCTCTGCGACATGAAACTGAGGGGGTTATATGACTGATTTTTTAAGGAGACACTGCCTCTTGTTTTTCTATCATCTTTATCTTGTCAGCTTATCTTCTTTCTCTATTTTGAATAGCTCTTTTTCAAACTCATTAGGCTTATTGGATATTACATATGAGATTTCCATTTTGTTTGTTTTGTCATCATTTTGATCTTGTTAAGAAATCTCCTCAGCTAGTATTTAACTAATCTTAACTCATTTGACTACATGTCTGTCAACATTATGGACAGTGCATTGTTGAATTTCTGGTAGAGCATAATGACACAGAACAGCAAAGAGACAGTGAGGAAGAATTATACAGATACATGTTTGTTTTCAACATAGAGAATCACTAGAAGCAACTTTGAATGACTGAGATATCTTTCAAGCAAGTAACATGGCTGTCCTTATAAGCAGTAAGGAACACTTCATTGGAATGGAGCAATAAAGACTCCAGAATTTTAGGATTTGACATCCAATGTATGGCATGTCATATGTAAAATGACCAAGTGTGTATAATGAATTGTAATATTTGAACAAATACTTAGTATTACCATTTCACCTATTTTACCCCTAACACTCTCACATTAGCTGTCACCAGATTTTGTGACAACCCTAGATCGTTGCAATACTCGTGTAGGATACTTCGTCTTTCTTCAACAGTCTGCACTATAATTCTGTTGTGATGCATTTCAAACTGTATATGGTGATAAATAGTGTTGCAGTTAATCAATCTCGTTCCATACTTCCGTCATGCAAATGTGTTCGATAATCACATGGCATTTCTTTACAACCTAGTTGAAATAGGCCATTTATAATACTTCATGACAAATATTTGTGAATGAGATCTAGTGAAGCCCACTGAAGGTGTCAAACATGGATGAAGACGTGCCTGTGAATGCACCGAGTATGACCGTCTTTAGCAATACATTACATTAAAAAAAATATGTTATTTGTTTCAACAAAAAATGTTAAAATCTTACCAATTAAATAAAACATTGTGTATTTTTACAGCATTTGATTGCTTTCTCTTTTGACAGCCTTCACCACAACTCGCCCACGTTAATTTCGACGTCAATAAAATGTTTGACATTTGGTGGCGATCCGGGTCGCATTGATGTTTGCAATATTTTAAAGATGGCTGCGCCCATAATACCACATGCGATTGAGTGAATTGTTGAAAAACTTGGCCATCAACGATAATGGGAAAATCATCTTATCACAGATCTGAAAATACGTTCAGAGTAAGTTTTGTTATTGCAGACATTATATTTTCGTGAATATGATCTTTACAGTATAAGTTCTGCTGCCATCGATAGATTCCATCACGTGTATATGTTTATGTTTACTCTACGTGCCACTATCTGTACAATTCCAAACTTATTGACTCGTTTGAAATGCACGTTTTCATGTTTGCAGGTTGAATAAACATGGTATGGAGTTGTAACACAAACGTAGAACCCATTCACGGAAATTGCATTAAAAAAGAAAATACCAACATGGCAACTTAATCATAATTCAAACTTAGATTGAATAAAACTAGGGCAACATATGAACAGAGGAAAGATTTACAGTGAGACTCATGTAAAATACAATGACTATAAGACCAGATATTCCAGAAGAGTAAATGTCTTCTGCTTCATCAATGACTCACGCCATGTAAACCTTGGTCAATCCAAGTAAGTAATGTCACGTTCTCAACTAACGAGCATCAAATACATCTAGCTTCATGTCACAAAAAGAAGTAGAATATTTCGTGATGAGATCACTATGGCGACCATTATCAGTGGTCTTAGTTGATTTAATGGGTTGGTGAAAGTAATGTTAAACAATTCCGCCCATCATATTTTACACAGCTACAGCAAATTTAAAAAGTAATGTTTCGACTCCATCACTAAAAATCATACCTAAATCATGCAATATGTATGAATGTGTCTATCTAAAAAGCACCAACAAGCGATTGCAAACGTCATAAAGCATTTTCAGAAAATATCTTTTAATACGCTTTGTGAAATTAATGACAGCCAAATACTGTTGAAAATATGATCAAAATACTCTGTTGTGCCAAATTTCTTGTTGATTTCAAGCTGGTTTCATGATGATGTATGAAAGTTCACAAGTTCATGTGAATTTTAAATTGTCATAATAAAGAGAATATATTCAATGAGTGTCTTTTTTTTCGTATCTGAAAAATCTTGCTGAATCCAAATCACAAGAAGTTGGTCATTTAATGATATATGAAACTGAAACTTCATATAATGATGTATTGTAATAGTGAGTGTGATATACAATATATGCATGTACTGCCGACAATTGGAGGAATTTCAACTCTCATCAAATCAACTGATGTTTCATATATGAATATGGAACTTGGTAAATAAGTATATTCTGGTCATATGTACAAAATATCTTCTGATGTTGTTAACTTTATTTAGTATTTTCGAAGATATGTAAAAATCTTTAAGAAAATTTAGTTTAAATTTAGGTGCAAAAGGCATTGACCTGCAGTATGAAATTTTTGGAACAAATGGTGTTGAAGTGTAATGATCTGTTCAGAACTTATATATATGCATTCTAGTTTTATGTATCTTCTTAGTGAATTCATCAAATGTGTTGTTTTATCCTTTTCAGTTCCAAACATTTTCTGAACGGATTTCAGACATTAATATTGATGTCATCCATAAGATAAGACATCATGATGATACACCTGGGGTAAGTACACAAAGACAATGCACTCATTGATAAATATATGTATGTATATATGCGATGCTGTTCTATTGTCCCATCACCATAGTATGTATTTTTCATCACTTGGAGATGTACATCAAACTCTCAGAAGGCAGAATCAAGTTAATATTGTTTATTTTTTCGTAAAATATCACAATACATCATGGGTCACTAGCTGCATAAATAACATAAACATACTTTTCACACTGACTTCTCCAATATATGAAATTTTCTCTTTAGAAAAAAAAAAAAATTATGTACAAAGCTAATAATATCAATACAATACAATTTTAATTACAAAATATTTAGTGATCAAGTTACAGAACAATTAAACAAATTTCCAATAGTGTATCTGGTAAAATAGAAACATATACTCGCTTATATTGTAATGAATGTTTTGATAGTGATAAACTATGTTTTAACAGGAACATTCCACTTACTTTGGTGAAGCATTGGAAAAATGGCTGGAGCTCAACTGTACAGCTCACTTCCGTAAGTATTGGTGCATCATTTTCTGGGGTTCTTTTTAAACAATTCTTTATGTATACCTGGTAATATTTTTGAACTTTTTGAACAATTTTTATACACTTCATACTGATGCAGTTTCATGTAAATGTGAATAAAATAGATATATATATTCCACAACAGTTTATTAATGTAACCACAGTAATTTGATTGAGTAGAAATTATGTCAGCATCATCAGAATTGGAACTTGTTGATTTGATGTTTCAGTTGAGTTCAGACAGGAGATCAGTGAGCAGGTCCAGTCTTTTACCCAGCTTGTTCACAATGAGGTTAGTACACAAGCAACACAAACAGTTATGGAGAAACAGTGGGTCGGATAAAAAAATTTGAAATCCATTTTGAATATGTAAAGATGTTTAGTTTCATCCTTTTCATTTGATACATCTTAAGAATTTTGAAAATCTAGACACTAATGACATCACTGAAATACTGGCCTGTTTTTGGGGACAGATAAAAATCCTACTATCCTGTAAGAGGTGTGGGGGGGCGAACTTTTTTTTTAATCGTTTTCAAAAGTATGCCTCTTATACTGGTAATGAATCTGGCTTGATTAATAGTTTTTGATATTTTCATTTTCTGTGTGTGATATACTGTAATAAAATTAAACCTGAACTTCGGATGCATAAATAGATCTGATGTTTTCGATGTTCATTTACAGACTCAGATTGTGGCATCGCTCAAGAAACACCTCATGGTCCCTAAGACGCTGGCCTATGAACCACTGCTAGAGTAAGTTGTTCACGGGTTTTTGTTGACACCAAATATCCATAACATTCCTTATGAAATATTGACAATATGTAGCCATTGTGTAAACTATTTATCAAAATTATTTTCTAATACCCGGGTAGATATATTGCATGTCCTTTTAGCATTTGAAGATTCTAAATGGATTTTACTTGTTTGTATGGAAACTAATAAATCTATAGCAACCCATCCTTATCTCATCAAGCTCCTCAGCTGAGGTCTGAATGGTCAAAAAGATTTGTAATATAATCATTGTATGAATGTTTGGTGACATAATAGGATTTACTAGTACATTGTTAATGATTTAAATGATATTAAAGTTATTTGAAATGTCAAATGAAAATTAAATGGAGAGCTTTATTTTAAAATATAATATTTGTACTCAAAGTTTTTTCTTCTTGGTCCCCACAGCCTTCTGGTGCAGCTGGCACGTGACCTCCAACACGACTTCTATAAACACTTTCCAGATTTTTTCACCCTCTTGGTTGAGCTACTGAACAGAAACACACAGGACACTGACCTCATGGAGAAGTTGTTTTCTGCCCTCTCCTATATCTTCAAGTTCCTGTGGCGCTACCTTCTCAAGGACATGGAAGTTGTGTATGGGTAAGACAGAGATAGCATACCTCCTTAAGATGTTACAGTTGGCATAGGACTTGTCAATTAGAACATGAATTTTACTCTTTAAATACAAATTTGTTTAAAAAAGAAATAGTGGTGAACTTGAATGAAAGATTGCGATAAAAATCTTCAACTCTTAAATCTAGTCAAGAATTGTGAGGATGTCTTATAAGGAGTGTTGTAAAATCCCTTATTTCATCAATTATGCTCATACTTTTAATCCATGAATTCTTTGTGTCCAAAGATTAACTGCTAAAATGTTTGACAGGAATGCTTCATGATAGATGTTTTCTTAAAAACTATATTCTTCCATGAAGTAAAAAACCTATGAAATAGTTTAATTTTTTGGGAAAAGTCACAAACTTTGAGCCCCATGAAAATGTACAATGTTTCCAAAGTCTTTGGAGCTGTGATTATCTATGTTGGTATCCTGGTGTACATTAGATCAGGAAAGCTCAGCTGTTACAGTGATTCTCTCTGTTTACCAGGTATTTCTCTAACTTGCTGAGTGAAGACAACAAGCAATATATCAGACAGTTTGCAGCTGAAAGTTTTGCATTTCTGATGAGGAAGGTAACATCACCATTTTCTGTATTTCCTTATTTTTTGCCTGTAAAAAGATGTATTAAGGTAGAAAGTTAAACAATTGAATATGGAAAGTATGGAATCATTCTGGAGTTGACACTTTATATCTGGAATAATGGTTATCATCTCATAACTGTCAATGGAAAAAAACCATTAAAATGAATATTAAAAATTCCAGTGAAAAAAAAGGGAAAAAGAGTTGGATATCCTAGAAATAAGTAAATATAAGTGTTAAACTGCTTTCATTTGGCATGCATTGGCTTATGAATGTCAACCGAATAAAGGCAAATTCCATGAAACATATTTTCAATGCTAAACTAAATTATGTCAGTGATGATGAATATTTAATTTACTGTAATATAGATCTGTGTAAAATCTTCACTGTTAAATCCACAGATATGTCTTATATTATATTGAGGAAAATATTAAGCAACAAAGACTGCTTCATTGTCCTGTAATAAGCCCCCTACCTGTGGGTATTTTTGTTAGTTTACTGTAGGATTAATAGGATACTTACTACTGGTAAACTGATCTAATGTTTTCTGTACTTCTGTTCCCATTCATTTAGCTCTTATAAAGGTTGATCTTCGTGTTTGTTTTAAAGCCTACATTCAACAAACTGAGCACATCTTCTGCTGTATAAAAGTTTGCTGCATCATTGTGTTTTCAATTTATTGTTTAATTCTGTTTTCAGGTTAAAGATCATGGAGTATTGTTTGATTTTCTGTTTAAAACCCTGTCCCAATCTCCAGATGTAAGTACTCTGTAGGGGTTTATCTAGATGGATCTAGTATCATAATAGATTCAATGAAGCAATGTAAGAAGTAACAGAAGGTTAAGAAGAATGTTTTGTTCATGGTTGTGTCAACCTAAATGTTCTTCAGATATCTGAACTGCAGATGCATTTTTTGGTTTCATATTCAGATGAAAATTTCTATATAAATTATATTTTTTATGATTCAGAATGCTGATGGATTAGGGCGACTGATGTTTGAGATGCTGAAAGGTGTGAAAAGACAACTTCACAGTTGTACAAACAAGGTGAGCAGAGTGTTTTTGTGAACATCATGAATGTGTCTTGTTCAATTCCCTATCTTAAAAACTGGGATCTGATGTTTTTACTTGTTCTTATCATGAAGTAACAAGTTTCTCATCATTTGTGATAAAGCTGTGTAGATATGTGCATCATGACTAGACATTATGTTTTGTTGACAGACATACTGAATTAAAACATATCTATGTATTGTTTTGTTTACAGATCTGAATGCCCTTTTGATGTCTTTATTGTAGATTTTTCCTATACTGCTCTCCAAACTTGGACACTGCCAACAGGGAAAGAAAGTGAAGGTGTTACCATGGCGACTTGTGGAAGAGTGCATGTCACAGTGTTTCCGTTCAGTGGCAGAAAACATTGATAAAACTCATTTTGATGATGCATGGACTATCTTATTGGTAAGTCTACATTTGCTGTTCTCTAACCAAACATTGGTTAGGAATAGTGGTCATGTGTTACAATTTGTAGCAGGGAAACTTAATATTGAGCAAACAAATCAATTCTGAAGGACGTTGATTAAATAGGACTGCTGGTGAAACTGAAATACGTTTTACTATATACAGGTGGTTTTAGTAGGGGACTGCATTGTTATTCTCTTATTCTACTATAACCCTGATCCTCTGTTATACAGTTTCTGTCATAACCTTGAACTTGCTATAACCCAGTATCTAAACTAACCAATCTCCTGCTGTTACTCGAAGCTTACAAAACCTTGACCTTGCTATCACCCATGCCAGACTGAAACTAGCCCCTGCTGTTACCTGTTTTTGACTCAACCTTGACCTTGCTGTAATCCAGTGTCTGACGTAGCCTTGACCCAACCTTGTATATAACCTTATATTGCCCCTGGGGTCAACCTATTGCTAATGTTTTCCATCTTTCATTCCAGGCATCTTTGACATCTGTGTACAAGTTTTGGTTAGACCCAGAATGTCCAAACAAGGGGAAGGCAGCCAAACATTTAGGCCGCTTACTCAGGCTAACACAGATCTGGCTCCATCATGGCAAGGGTGCCATCATCAGATGTCATGATAATGTGGCCATGGTAACACTATTTTATTAAAGATGTCTGATATGTCTTATTTATAAAATTCACTTTACAAGATTTGAGAAAATAGAGAAAACACTTTTTGCATTTTATTTCATCCCACCAAATTCTAATGGTAATAATTCATGTGGTGGATTTGTTTTATGAAGATATGAAATTTTCTCCTAACTTAAAGTTAAACTTAGTATAGGCATTGTCAGGTAATAAATGGACTTTAAGAAGAGATTGATTTCTTTTGTTTTCTGATTTACATATTCTGCTATTTGACAGTTTGCTTCTGAAAATTACTAAATATCTTGGTAAATTTTTCTATATTTGAAATGCTATATTTAATAAACCTGGCTGGAAAATAAAGACTTTCAAGTTTTCTGCCCACATAATTGGTACTGTAATGAGTTTTGTCTTTATACTTTATATCCTCTTTTTCCAGACTTTGTTACCACTTCTAAAGGGAGACTGTCTCCCAGTCTCTGCAGGGGAGGAGCTTGTTTCCACTGTGTCAGCCTTTCTCCAACAGGGTCACTCCCAGATCGCTATATCCAACACAGCCAAACTAGTCTCTGCTGTAAGTTGCTGAACATGGCAAGATAACCTGTGTGCACTGACACATGAATATCATGACATCAAGATTGTATTTAATTGAATTACTGACTGACACATGGCTATAGGGACAACCTGTATTTGCTGACACCTGTATATAAGAATGAATTGCATTTACTGACACATGGATATAAAGACAAGTTTATCAGAAATATCTATTGATTTCAGCATGGTTATCCTATGAAAACAAATTATACATACTATAGATTTTGACATTGTGTTATGATACATTTACACCTTTTTTCCTGAAATTTTTGCCTATTGGTTAGTCTTGTATTTACGTGTATTTACAGGTTTACAAGACTTCGTATCCAACGGAGATGCTTTTCAAGTTTACCACGACCATGCTTAAAAGCAAACTGCCGATATTTGAAAAGGTATGCTGGGTATTGTGTAAACTAAACCAGGAGAAACAGCATACTTATCAGATACACCAATCATGTCAGGACAACAAAAATTAGGAAATGTTTTGAAAAATTATATTGATCAAATGACCTACCAACAACAAATGGAAATATGATAATGATCAAAATGTCAGAGATATTTACAAAGAGTGTTTGTAATATTTCTGGAATAATTAAAAAACTCTGAAAAAAATATATAAGGCCATCATGAAACTAGTTCACAAGACAAATGAAACAGAAGTGATTCACTGCTTGCTTATTTCAGGACGTTTTGATGTCTCTGAATGAGTACTGCCTGGGAATGCTGGAGAATGGGCAGGAGACTGGCAGAGTCCTTAGTTTATATACAGAGATCATCCTTCACAAGACCACACTCCCAAGCACAAAAGAGGACCTCAAAGATCTCCACACATATCCTCTGGACTTTGGACTCTCTGGAAGGTTTGGACCAGTAATCATTTACACAGCAATTAACATGTAGCTATAAAACAAATGTTTTTGATTTAAATGAAGTGAATCAAACATTTAAACACAGTAAGATTGATACATTCAGTGTAAATTCAATGGCTGCCAAGTAGCATATTAATGTACATGTATATTAAAAATCTTAGATTTGTTTGTAAAATTATCAGAAATATATGCAGGTCCAAGTTCATGGAGATTCTGATGGGTACTATTGATGGAGTGAACAAGAAAACTTGGATGGCAGAGGAATGTCAGCGTCATGTTTGGTCAGCTGTAGTGTGTCTACCTCATGTCTGGTAAAATATATAATAGTTTTGTAACTGAAAAAAATATATTCTGTAAGCAATTTACAGAAAGCATAATGATCTCCCAGTCACCAAACACAACAGACTTAACTCATCACTGATATGTACTGTGTTAATAGCAATATGTAAGGTTATACCCAGAGCCAGATTTAGTAATGAGCTTTGTTAGATCCAGTCGAACATTGTGACAGATATGCTCCATTTAGACCCATCAGATCACCGAGGTGAGGTGGTGTGTCATGTACCAAAATTTTCTTGGCTTTATTTCCTGCTCTGATTAGCTTGTCACAGGAAATTCATATTTAGGACATTAGTTTTCTTAGGTTAAGCAGTATGTCATGCACAAAAATTAGGTCACATGCACTTTGATCTACATTTTAACCTTTAACCTTTATTGAATAGGCTGTGTGTTATGTATCACAAGTACGTCACTTTGACCTACATTTTTATATTTGTCCTTAACTAGGAATTGGTGCTACTGTCTGTTCAAATTAGCGATGTTGCCTTCTTGAATTGATGATATCACTGTCAATCTACTTCTTTTAGTGCCATTTGAGTGCACATTTTACTAATTAGCACAGTGATGAATTTACGCATTAGAAATGATTGTTATATAGATTTAGTACAGTAACTGCTGTTAGCACAGATTTATTTCAGTGTATTACTCTACAATAAGATCACCACTAAATATAGTTGTGTATAGTATTTTACTTGAACTTCTAATATTGCTTACTAAAATTAGTGATATTGCTGAATTCATTCATATTTATAACACCAAATGCAGTTAAATGATGAAATGCTGTGGAATGCATGGTCTGACCATGTTTTATTTGATAGCAAAATGGCAGTTTTACTGGTACACATTCAACAGATTTATTCACAACAATAACATTGTCTCTAATCCCTATTAATGTAATGATGGATCGGTCAAACATTTAGTGTGTGGTTCTAACACAAACTTGTAATCAGTGCATTCTTGGCATATAATTTCACATTCAATGTGGGACGGTAATTCTCTGGTTGTCTTGTATTGTACTGAACCACATACTGCTATACTAAACGGCTATATGTACAGTGATATTTCATTATTTACATGATGTTTAAGATTTTCTGATGTTTCTCTAGGCCTGTAGACAGTACCAAAGATACAAGAATGAAGAGTCTGATCAAACTGATGGGAAAGGTTGTAACTCAGATAAAGAAAACCTCCGACCTAACTACTACAGGTATGTCTGACCAGAACTCTGACCAAACAGCTACAGGTATGTCTGACCAGAACTCTGACCAAACAGATACAGGTATGTCTGTCTAGAACTCTGACCAAACAGCTACAGGTATGTCTGACCAGAACTCTGACCAAACAGCTACAGGTATGTCTGACCAGAACTCTGACCAAACAGCTACAGGTATGTCTGACCAGAACTCTGACCAAACAGCTACAGGTATGTCTGTCTAGAACTCTGACCAAACAGCTACAGGTATGTCTGACCAGAACTCTGACCAAACAGCTACAGGTATGTCTGACCAGAACTCTGACCAAACAGCTACAGGTATGTCTGACCAGAACTCTGAACAAACAGCTACAGGTATGTCTGTCTAGAACTCTGACCAAACAGCTACAGGTATGTCTGTCTAGAACTCTGACCAAACAGCTACAGGTATGTCTGACCAGAACTCTGACCAAACAGCTACAGGTATGTCTGACCAGAACTCTGACCAAACAGCTACAGGTATGTCTGACCAGAACTCTGACCAAACAGCTACAGGTATGTCTGACCAGAACTCTGACCAAACAGCTACAGGTATGTCTGTCTAGAACTCTGACCAAACAGCTACAGGTATGTCTGTCTAGAACTCTGACCAAACAGCTACAGGTATGTCTGTCTAGAACTCTGACCAAACAGCTACAGGTATGTCTGACCAGAACTCTGACCAAACAGCTACAGGTATGTCTGTCTAGAACTCTGACCAAACAGCTACAGGTATGTCTGTCTAGAACTCTGACCAAACAGCTACAGGTATGTCTGACCAGAACTCTGAACAAACAGCTACAGGTATGTCTGACCAGAACTCTGACCAAACAGCTACAGGTATGTCTGTCTAGAACTCTGACCAAACAGCTACAGGTATGTCTGACCAGAACTCTGACCAAACAGCTACAGGTATGTCTGACCAGAACTCTGACCAAACAGCTACAGGTATGTCTGACCAGAACTCTGACCAAACAACTACAGGTATGTCTGACCAGAACTCTGAACAAACAGCTACAGGTATGTCTGTCTAGAACTCTGACCAAACAGCTACAGGTATGTCTGTCTAGAACTCTGACCAAACAGCTACAGGTATGTCTGACCAGAACTCTGACCAAACAGCTACAGGTATGTCTGACCAGAACTCTGACCAAACAGCTACAGGTATGTCTGTCTAGAACTCTGACCAAACAGCTACAGGTATGTCGGACTAGAACTCTGACCAAACAGCTACAGGTATGTCTGACCAGAACTCTGACCAAACAGCTACAGGTATGTCTGTCTAGAACTCTGACCAAACAACCAAAGATACAAGAATGAAGAGTCTGATCAAACTGATGGGAAAGGTTGTAACTCAGATAAAGAAAACCTCCGACCAAACAGCTACAGGTGTATCTGTCTAGAACTCTGACCAAACAGCTACAGGTATGTCTGACCAGAACTCTGACCAAACAACTACAGGTATGTCTGACCAGAACTCTGACCAAACAGCTATAAGTATGTCTGACTAGAAATCTGACCAAAAAGCTACATGTATGTCTGACTATAACTCTGACCAAACAGGTATGTCTGACAAGGTATCTAGATGTATGCTTTGGAGATAAATACAATCCAGAATGAGGCATCTTTAATTGTGTATGTGGTGGGATCACTGAAGTGGTAATTTCTTGCTGAATGACCTTTAAACCTCATGATTCATTTGTCATCTTGTCCTGTGTACAAAATTTCTCTAATGTTCTACTGGTAGGATTCACTTGAAATTTGCCTGAATTGATCCTGAGATTGTCTTAACAAAGTGTTATTTATCTGGTCAGTCAGTTGCCATGCCTTAGTGAGATGACCATTCAGGCCAATAGGCTCCTTGTTTGTTGTTGATGTTATAGCTGGTAATAACAATTAGTATTTAAAGCAAGTGACAACAATAATTGTTGTTTCCTTCTGTTACAGATAAGCTACTATTCCTGTACTACAATATTGTGATGTCCTTGGCCTATCTACATGAGGACGGGGATCTCTGTGACATGATACCTATATCACAGATAACAGAATTACTTAAGTAAGTTGTATGGTCAGTAATAATGTCCTTGACCTACCTACATGAGGATGTGACCTCTGTTACTTGGTACCTATACACAGTTAACGGAATTACTCCAGTAAGTTGTATGGACAATGGTGATGTCCTATGCTTGAGGCAGTAAATAAATGGGTAATAAATGATGGGACATTGATATGGAGTATTTGAAATGTTAAAGCTTCAAATGTTTTTAAAGGTAAAAGTTATATTATGTTGATGCTGAAGTCACTGGAATAGAATACATCAGAGGTCCCCTGTACAGCACAGACATTTAGTCTGCAGCGTAGTCACATTACAGACTGTATTGTGTTTAGGTCTATACCATCAATACTTCAATATCTTTTCTCTTGTATAACACCATCAGGTATATTGTTTTAGGTCACACTCAACCAATATCCACATGCTGACTGCTGTCAATCTGTACCTGACGCAGGCTTCCATGGCCGGTAAAACTTCAGACCTGGAGGAGGAGATTCTCCTGGATGTGTTTCCATGTCTACAGGACAATTTAACATCCTGGAACTCTCATGTAAGTTACTTAGGTCATTATATTAGAATGTTTGTGATAAATTCTGCTGAAAGACGACCTCAAATTCAGCTGATTTAAAAAAGTATCTTTTCCGGTTAGTCAGCTGTATGAGGAACGACCAATGAACACGAGAGTCTGTCTAATGTTATCATGAGGTTTGATTCAAAGTAAAATCAGAAAATAATGGAAATCTCAATATATTTTAGTTTTGTAATGAAAATAACTCAAATTTTCAATTTTGATTTCAGATACGTACCATGAGTCTGCGTATCCTGGCCGAGTTTACTGTACGATTGCCATGTGTTGAAGGATTTGTAAGTACTCTGATTTCTGTGGCTTATACAAGTCTGTGATTTAGTACCAGATGCCACTTCAACATTACACAAACAGGCATTTATTTCTACAAAAAAAGTTAAGAATGAGACATACATGTAATTAAAAATCCAAAGAACATACAAATACTTGACACTGAGTATTAATTCAGTTACATGGATTTTACTAATTTGATTTTCCTTGTTTGTTTATCCATTATATATGAAATATGAATTCCCTCCCTTACCAGTGTATAATGATTTTATAAAAAAATCATTAACTGAAATTGTAATGTTAAATCAAAATGTTTGTCTTTCATTTTCTGTGGTTGTGTAAATTTTTATATTTCGAAATTGTAATGCATAAAATGAAGATTACCTCATGCTTTCTGTGATTGTGTAAACTTTTGGGTATTTTGAAATTCTAACCATAAAAACATGACACTTAACCAATTTCTGTTTTATTTATGTTCAGGAAGAAGACAGGGACAATGTGTTTCAGACATGTCTGAATGCAGAGTTAGTTCCCTTGTCTGTTCACGACTATCGACAACGACTGCTGTATCTACAAAGACTAGACTTCAGTAATGTACAGAACTCTGTACCTGATGGGCCCTTTAGCAAGGTAACTCTTACTATGAATAAGACTTTCAAAATCTGTATTAATACAGTTTATAAAGGAGATTATTAGTGTTGTCATGGAGTTTAGACAAATGCTGTTTACTGAAGCATCTCTATGTTGTTGTGAGGTTAAGGAATATCTAGTACGCAGAGATTTCTTTTTCCTTCCAGTTATGTGATATTTGTTGTCCCCTTTCCATCACAATGCATGACATTCATTAAGAATTTTGGTTAGGTTTTAATGATGCATGGAATGAGAAAAGAACTGGGCATCATTTCTCCTATTTTGTAGGTTGCAGTGAGGTATTTGATTGGATCACTTTTTGTAAACTTCAAGTTGCTATGGGAACCCACTAGAAAACTGATAGCTAGTCATGCTAAGGGACTAGGAAACAAGGAATTCTGGGAATTGTTTCATACTGAGTTGGCACAAGCTGCTACTACAACAGGTTGGTATTATGTCAAATGTGTTAGTAATTTCTTTTTTTTAATAACCAGAAGGAAGTTATGTTGATTCTAATCAAATTTTGTATATCATATCTATATCCCATTTTGCTTAGAAACAAGACAGAGAAACATGAAATAATTTTTCTTTTTCTTGTAATTTCTTGCTTTAGCTGTATCTAGACATCTAACATTAGGTTCATCATATTTCAATACAATCAAATGAGTTGCCAACAGAAAACGACATGGTTGTCATCTCAAATTTTATCAAACGAGTACAAACCAATTTGTAAGCTTCTGATTGTAGGCATTTCATGTATGTTTTGTACACCTGTATACATCAACTTTATTTTTAAAAAAAAATGTAATGTATGGATATTTGAAAATAAAATTTTTCAGAAGAGTTACTCGCTGGTAATGAGAAGCCATACCTCCATGGTAACAATGCTCTAATAAGTATGGCCGACTTTGATGTGTCAGACATCATACCGAGTCACATGACTTCTGAAAGGGCTGACTATTACAACTTCCGGGATCAGTTGTGGAAGGCTATGATTTTGTTCTCAGACCAGTGTGAGGCCAAATCACGTGACCTTTCACCTCTCCTTCTGCGATTTATCAGGTAGAAATCCTTAAAAAATCAATAATAATTAATTGATGAATTAGTTGTAAATTCATGGCTTATAACTAAAATGCAAAAAATTAGTGTTTTATTGTTTTCAAGACATGCATAAATATACATTTGTTTATTTTTAAAATACACATAAAAAATGTGAATTCATGTTGTGGTTTGAAACTTTTCTGAACTACTAATTAATGAATTGTTCTGTATTGGATATACCCTGATAACGCATTGTTTGCCTGTTCATTGTTTATTTTTTAATCATTTCTATATCTAATGTTATCAGAAATGAGTACTACCCATCTGATATGAGCATGGCACCTAAACAAAACATCTGCAGACGAACAGCGGTGGGGAAACCTCCAGAGAAGGGAGATCAGGACAGTGAGGAACATCCTGAGGGTGGAACGATGAATAGCCAGGACAACGAACAGGAAATAGACATACCGCAGGAACAAAATTCACCAAGGATGAGGGTCACCAGGAGCAGGTCAAAGAGGTTAAATGAAGAAAGGTCACAGTGAGTATAATAATAGTTTAACTTTATCATTGTTAAAGGTATTATTGCTCACCAAAACATGATCGATTGTTTTTGCTTCTTAATATTTGTTTTTGAAATTATCAAAACAGAAAAATCCCATTTAATCACATGAAAGACCAAGAAACTAGCCATGGTTGAAGATATGAATATTTCTCTATGGTTAGGGCATTTTATTTTCCTTATTATTTCATTATTTATTATTAAATTTCTGAGTGAATAAATTCAAGTTTGAAGCATGAACACAAACAGTATTTAACTTAAGTTAGGAGTACCGGAGTATCAGAGTTTGGGTGCTAATGTCAGAGGTATTTTTGAATTTTTGTATTTCTGATGGTGACTTTGTGTTAACTTAAATGTAGTGGTGGCTTTGTGTTAACTGAAATGTAGTGGTGACTTTGTGATGGCTGAAATGAAATGGTGGTTTTATGTTGACTGAAATGTTGTGGTGGCTTTGTGTTGACTGAAATGTAGTGGTGACTTTGTGATGACTGAAATGTAGTGGTGACTTTGTTTTGAGTGAAATGTAGTGGTGACTTTGTGATGACTGAAATGTAGTGGTGGCTTTGTGATGACTGAAATGTAGTGGTGGCTTTGTGATGACTGAAATGTAGTGGTGGCTTTGTGATGAATGAAATGTAGTGGTGACTTTGTGATGGCTGAAATGTAGTGGTGACTTTGTGATGGCTGAAATGTAGTGGTGACTTTGTGATGACTGAAATGTAGTGGTGACTTTGTGATGACTGAAATGTAGTGGTGACTTTGTGATGACTGAAATGAAGTGGTGGTTTTATGTTGACTGAAATGTAGTGGTGACTTTGTGATGACTGAAATGTAGTGGTGACTTTGTGATGACTGAAATGTAGTGGTGACTTTGTGATGACTGAAATGAAGTGGTGGTTTTATGTTGACTGAAATGTAGTGGTGACTTTGTGATGACTGAAATGTAGTGCTAGCTTTGTGTTGACTGAAATGTAGTGGTGACTTTGTGATGGCTGAAATGTAGTGGTGACTTTGTGATGACTGAAATGTAATGGTGGTTTTATGTTGACTGAAATGTAGTGGTGACTTTGTGATGACTGAAATGTAGTGCTAGCTTTGTGTTGACTGAAATGTAGTGGTGACTTTGTGATGGCTGAAATGTAGTGGTGACTTTGTGATGACTGAAATGTAGTGGTGACTTTGTGATGGCTGAAATGTAGTGGTGACTTTGTGATGGCTGAAATGTAGTGCTAGCTTTGTGTTGACTGAAATGTAGTGGTGGCTTTGTGATGACTGAAATGTAGTGGTGACTTTGTGATGACTGAATTGTAGTGGTGGCTTTGTGATGGCTGAAGAGGATCGCTTTGATAATTTATGATGGGTATGTGTCATTGTGTTACTGTAGGTCAGAGTCATCTGAACCATCAGGAGATCACAAGGAAAATGTTGATAAAACTATATCAGAAGAAAACGGAAAAGAAAACTTAAAGGAAAATGAACTGGACTCCACTGTCATTGACAATGTAGAGGATACAGAGGCACAAGTATCAAAGAGACTGAGGAGAGCAGCAACATGGTTTGTATTTATCATAACATCGTCATGATTTAATCAACACCTCTGTTAAGTTAAGTTAAATGAGGTGGAAAGAGAGGTGGTAAGTGAAGTGGTAAGGGAGGTTGATTGGGAAGGTTGTAAGTGAGGTGGAAAGGGAAGTGGTAAGTGAGGTGATAAGGGAGGGTGGTAAGGGAGGACATAAGAGAGAGTGGTTAGGGAGGTATTAAGAATGATGGTTATTGAGATAAGTGAGGAGGTAAGGGAGGTGGTAAGGGAGATGGTAAAGGAGAGGGTTAAGGGAGAGAGGTAAAGGAAAGGGATAAGGGAGGTGGTAAAGGAGTGGGATAAGGGAGTTGGTAAGGGAGTTAGTAATGGAGAATGGTAAGAGAAGTGGTCAGGGAGGGTGGTAAGTGAAGTGGTAAGATAGGTGGTAAGGGAGAATGGTAAAGGAGGGTGGTAAGGGAGGTGGTAAGGGAAGTGGTAAGTGAGATGGTAAGGGAGAGTGGTAAGTTAGGTGGTAAGGTGGTAAGTGAGATGTTAAATGAGGTGGTAAGTGAGATGGTAAGTGAGGTGGTCAGTGAGATGGTAAGGTGGTAAGTGAGATGGTAAAATAGGTGGTAAGTGAGATGGTAAAATAGGTGGTAAGTGAGATGGTAAAATAGGTGGTAAGTGAGATGGTAAGTGAGATGGTAAGTGAGGTGGTAAGTGAGATGGTAATGTGGTCAGTGAGATGGTAAGGTGGTCAGTGAGATGGTAAGGTGGTAAGTGAGATGGTAAAATAGGTGGTAAGTGAGATGGTAAGTGAGATGGTAAGTGAGGTGGTAAGTGAGATGGTAATGTGGTCAGTGAGATGGTAAGGTGGTCAGTGAGATGGTAAGGTGGTAAGTGAGATGGTAAAATAGGTGGTAAGTGAGATGGTAAAATAGGTGGTAAGTGAGATGGTAAGTGAGGTGGTAAGTGAAATGGTAAGGTGGTAAGTGAGATGGTAAAATAGGTGGTAAGTGAGATGGTAAGTGAGATGGTAAGTGAGGTGGTAAGGGAGAGTGGTAAAACTTTGTAGTGAGAAATAAATGTGCGAATCTTCTATTACAGTACTTTGGTGATACATTTGGAGCTGTTTGCCAAATTTAAGAACCCTAAATCCCTTTATCTAGAGCCTGATTTGAGGTCTCTTTATATGGAGGTAGGTTTATTTTATTTTTCCGTTTTCCTAAAAGTTTTACTAGGAAATTTTTTCAGAACTAATTTTCATTTCTTTTAATACTGTTTCAGGCAGATTTATTTTGTGATTTTAGCTATAAATGAATGTTTATTGCTACAGAATTTTTTTATGGTGATTTAACATCTGTCTCAATAACAATTGATCTTAACAATTAAGAGAGAAGACAAAGTTGTTTTAAGTCAGTGAAGGACCAAGAAATGTTATATTTCAGTTTTACTGCAAGTCATTATTAATTTTTATTTTGTGGAAGAGAATGCATTCTGTGTTAATTACACTTACTAGTTACTGGTACACAAAGATCCTGCTGTACAGAAGACCACATTTGACTGTATAATGGCTTACAAACATGACTACTTAGTACCATACAGGTATGGAGAGCTTTCAAAGGGAGACTACTGATTATTGAAATGAGCTATCTTAGTTCTAGATATGTTAATCCACAGTCTTTTCTTAAAAAGATCTGAAAAGATTATAAATGTTTCTAAGATAAAACAACTGTGATTATTGATTGTAATCAATATACTATAAAGGTACTATTACAGTATAGAAAAGCTGATTTTAAAGTAGAGGAATATTCTCTATCAAATCTACAGGGTCTATCAAACCAGTCATTTGCCTGAAAACTGAAATCAACTATAAGTTGTGTTTAACTTTTGTTCTTAGTGCGAACTTCAGCAGACTGCTGGATGATACAACATTCAAGTCGGAGTTAGTGTTGTTTAGTATCGACCATGAGGGTGGACAGATAAACAGTGAACACAGAAGTCAGCTCCTGCCTATCTTAATGAGGTCAGTTGATATAAATACTGTGTATGTCACTTGATGATTTGTTATTACCGTAATTACCCTTTAATATTCCCTCCTATAGACTCTAAAGGAACAACCGATGCTAATTTCTTTTGTCTGAATAAATGCTGTAAGCTGTACTGTCACAAACATTTATGCAAAAGAAATATAATGTTTTGTGAAAAGTCTTTCATTTTCATTGCAAGAAATGTCAATTTAACTCAAATATTCATTACACAAGACAATTTATACAATTTATTTATTATTATTATTTATGCCTACTGGTCTGTTATTTGTAAATGTATATTAATTGATTGTAAATCGAATGACACATACTTTTTCAGAATTCTTTATAGCAAGATGCTTACCAAAACAGGTAAGGAGACAGCGGGTCGTAGTCATAGCAACCTACGTCAGTCCATTGTCCTGCGCTTTCTCAATGGCTGTAGTATGGAAGAGGTCGTGACCTTTCTGGACATGGTGTACATGCCGTTTCATCACTTTATCACAGGTATTGCTTTGTATAGACTCTTAAAGTTCATTATGAACGATTGTGGAAGGAAACATCAGAATTTCAAGTAAATTGTGTGTTTGGATTTTTATTTTGAATGTTAAGTGACATCATGTTAATTCATGTGAGATTATTAATGAAAAATATAATTAAGCTTTTAATAAATTTTAGTAATGAAATAGTTGAAAGAAAAATGAGTATTTTACGATACAAGTTCTTATTACACAACCAGTAGATGATTAGAGTGTGATGTTTGACGACTACTCGGTCACCTCCATCAGACAGTACTAGTATACTCAACACTGTTCATTTGTCTGATGAAAGTGACTGTCTGTGTAGTCATCAAAATGTCACACTCTAATCTTCTACTGGTTGTATTATAAGAACTTCTATTCTATTGACATTACCAAACTGAGGAAAATTTTCTGAAATATTGTTTGATGATGTTTATTTCATACTCAGTAAAACAATTTTGTGTTATTGTTGTCGTAAAACACACTGCATCTTGATATTATGATAATTATGGTAGTGTTTGTTGTAGATGACCCCCAGCAGATGGCATTAGATGTAATGGAGAAAACAGACCCTACAGAAGTCATACCAATGCGCAAGATTACTGGGTATCATAATCTTCATTGTTTCTGTGTTTAAGTGTTCTTCTAGTGACAAACTAAGAATGATTATTATTTCTTTATCGACAGAAATAATTTTGAAGAAATTTGAATAATGGAGTAAAAAATTCATATTCCTTAGTGCAGTAGACGGTAAGAGATATGTTTCTAGGATTATGTTTATATTCAAGGATATATAACCAGGTATTTAATATGATGTATACTTTAAATTTTTCAGAACACTACATTCCACTAAAACATTTTGTCAGAAGCTAGGACATCTGATAGATGACTACCTACCTTCCATTATAAAAATCCTGGTGGGATTGATGGCTACTTGTGTTGCATGTCTTGAACAGAGGGATAATATCACACCATTCTCTCTCAGTACACTGAAAACCCTACGACAAATGGCCACCAGTAGGTTTATAGAGGTAAATATCACAACATTTTCTCTCAGTACACTGAAAACCCTACTACAAATGGCAACCAGTAGGTTTATAGAGGTAAATATCACACCATTCTGAGAGATAGCAATTTTCACAGTCAAATTACTGATATTTTCTAGCATATGTAGAAATCAATGAGATGTGGTTTTTATCATAGCTGTACAGAAATGATTTTATTTTAAACTATGCTTCTCTTTCAGTAAACACTGCTAGTGAAAATTAACCCTGATGATTGACAATCTCTAGAAAATTACCCAAAAATCTAGATTAGAAATAGTAAGACTGAGTCATCTTTCTCACTCTAGGAATATTCTGTGGTAATCCCTGTACTGAGATTCAAAATTGAAATATATTTACATAATCTATTTCTACTTTTCTCCAGATTTTTGAGAACTATGATGGCTACATGTTTTCTCCTGTGGAAGTTGATGCTGTGTTTACTGTTACTGTCTGGCCACAGGTAAGTCCATTATATTATAAATCTGTGACATCTTTTGACATGTGGATACCAATGGTATATATACAGTTATGTCGAAGTAAACAAGTATAAATATTTATTTGTTTATGAAGTCCTGGTAAATTAATATAAACACTGAGACAAACCATATATGTTTGACTGGTGTCAGTTACCAGGTAATGAATAAATCCACTCATGTCACTCATATTTTGGAGATTTACTATTGAATGACTGACCCGCCTCTTCCTTTTTATCCCCCTAAACAGTTTTATGTTGCATGTATTTGTAACTGATTATGTTATAGAGCTTGTTTCTTTTGTTATTAGTTAGAGAAGCTGCCATTTGAGGGTGTGTACCATCCCACCACTTTACTGAAAATACTTGCTACATGGTCAAGATCTCCGAGGTAAGACTGACATACTGACCACATGGTCAAGATCTCCGAAGTGAAACTTACAGACTGACCACATGGTCAAGATCTCCGAGGTAAGACTGACATACTAACCACATGGTCAACATCTCCGAGGTAAGACTGACATACTGACCACATGGTCAACATCTCCGAGGTAAGACTGACATACTTACCGTATGGTTAAGATCTCCAAGGTAAGACCGACATACTGACCACATGGTCAACATCTCCGAGGTAAGACTGACATACTTACCATATGGTTAAGATCTCCAAGGTAAGACTGACATACTGACCATATGGTCAACATCTCCAAGGTAAATAGTATTGTTAGAAACTTTTTGTTAGATATCACATCTATGTATCACATCCTGTACATTTAACACTGAATAAGTGAACCTCTCTAAAGCAAATCATCAACAAACAAGAGAGAGGCTGATAACAATTCATGTTAAAATTTAATATAAATCTAAAAATATATATAACTGTAATCATTTCACCTTGTTATCAGATCAATATGGAGTGTGTTATGTATCTTTTTATAACCAAACTTATTTCTGTTGAGTGTTTACCATGGCAATCCTGTTTCTTAAACAGGTATATTCTGTATCTGGCCAAGCATCCCCTTGACAACAAGGACATCATTCCACTTACATCAGTGTTTAAACTTCTTAATGCTCCAAATGTGAAGAACACAGTATCCAGCCTCATTCTGGAAATTGTGGACAACCTCCTGAATCCTAAGCAGTCTGAGGACGATACAGAGCTCCGCCCACTTCCTGTTCACTGTGGACCAGCTTTAGATTACACGCAGATGACAGGTATTTAAAATATTTTCACAGATGTATGTACAGCAATTCTTTCAGCGTTCTATTTTATCAAGGGACGGGGATTGAGGATGTAGTGTTATCCATCCATAATTGTCTTTGGTTGCTGTTCCAAATTGATGGGACGGAATTGGGGGCCTTCATATGTTATCAACATTTTCTAGTTATTTAAACTTTCAAGAATCAGTTTCGAACACAATGATGGAAATATGTATACTTGGGGAATCAAAGTGATGGATCTACTGGTACGACTGTTATCCTATAATGTTTGGTGCTATGATTATATACACATAAAGAACCCCAGCACTGCTCACCTTTATCTGTGTTTTCCTCTAACAGTCCAGGAAATAGGTATAGAACTGATGTCCCCACATATCCCGGCCCTGCTAACCTTTCTCCAGACTGCCATTGCCAGTCGAGAGACCAAGGTCTATATCAAGAAAGGTTCCTCCAGGGAGTTAAGAATTCTCTCAAGGTAAGATATTCTTTTGCTTGGTGCTTTATATGTGTGACTTATAATGGTCTGTGGCTTGCACACCTGTATATTTTACACCTGTGCCTTATTTTCTACATTTCTTTTTTGTAAATTTACATATAAAAATAAAACGTGATGCAGTCATATTTTCAGTGATTTATATTGAAAATACTAAGTGACACCTATTTGTCTATTTCAGTATCAGCTGTTTTGTGTCAGACATGACCCAGTGTCCTATTCTCATCTCTCTTCTTTTACCTTATTTGGACAAGACTATGATGAGGTCAAAGGTAAGTTACAAAAGTAATGTTTTTAGAGGGGCTAAACACATTTTTTTTAACAGTAGGCAGAAGTAATGTCAGTAGAGGTGGAAAACACCAGGTATTTCATAGGTGGCAGAAGTAATGTTTGTAGAGGTTGTAAACACACTGTGTTTTACAGGTGCCAGAGGTAGTGTTTTTATAGGTGGTAAACACACTGCTTTTTATAGAGTACAAAAGTAATGTTTGTAGAGATTGTAAACATCCTGTATTTTACTGGAGGCAGAAGTAACGTTTGTAGAGGTTGTAAACACACTGTATTTTACAGTAGGCAGAAGTAATGTTTGTAGAGGTAGTACACACACTGTATTTTACAGAAGGCAGAAGTAATGTTTGTAGAGGTTGTAAACACACTGTATTTTACAGAAGGCAGAAGTAATGTTTGTAGAGGTTGTAAACACTCTGTATTTTACAGGAGGCAGAAGAAGACATTTTGACGAGTATCAGTAACCTTATGGCTACAATCACCAACAAGTCACAGTTCTTCAGGTACCTACATTTATCTATTTGTATGGGTAATGATATTGAATGATTACTATACTTTGTGTTCAGTAATACAAATGTTATTCTAATCTGTTTACAATTATTCTAGTAGTTATGTTTTCTATTTTTGAATTTCAGACAAGTCTCCACGCTGTTTTCCAACATCCTGTTTCGCAGGTCTCGGGAACTCCTTTGCTCTATACTACAGGTATGGTGCTGTATTGTAACTGTAAGGACGTTAATGTAAAGCAATAAAATAACACAACATTAATTAATCTGTGATGTAGATACAGTTTGAAATACACTGTAAAAATATATCATTCAAGGGGAGTGGAAGTTTTTCGCCCGGGATGTTGTTGTATGAGGTATCAAGCTAGGGTAAGTTTTATATGTCTATATCTGTATACTGTTTCTTACAGATGATACTGACAGAAGAAAATGACCAATCAGCACTGGCTGAGCTAATACTGGGGGTAAGGCATTGTTTTTCTACAGCTGCATGAGCTATGTTTACTGTATGATTATCTTAAGAGTGTTGTTTAAACAATCCATCTTATCATAAATGGACTTAAACAACTGATATAACGTAACAAGACTACTCTGGTGGTGAAATAATCACTTTATACTTTAAAATCTGTAAAATGAGGAAAGGAAATCAATTTAAAACAAGTTTTTAAAAATGCACTACAGCAATATGTTTTGTAAGGTTTCTTTTATGTTTGTAAAAAATTATACCAGTATATGGAAAATGTTCTGTGATTTACAAATTGAATTAATTGATGGATTGAATTAATAACTGATGACAGATTATTTTTGTGCAGCATTGCTTTGGAGACATAAAGGAGTGTAATTGACTTTTATATTTACATTTCAAAAGAATTTTTTATAGACTGAAGTCTGATTCCCCTTTCTTCACAGTTAAATTCCTGGGATCCTAAACGTACAGACGAGCCTGATTACATGAAGAGACTGGCAGCCTTCAAAAACGCCAATGAAATGATCAAATCTATGAAGACAATTGAAGTTGATGTCCTCTTACCCATAATGCACAATGCCTGCTACTTCATCAATATGGTGTGTGTTTTTTTTACTCTGTACTTCCTCTTGAAACCATTAATGACATCATGTCTCGTCATCCACATCATTGCTAGGAAGTATACCCTTCCTCAACATATATACGTAGTATTTGCAAAGCTAACCATTTTTGCTGTCAATATATATGACTTATATTTCTATTCCAGATTGATGACTTGTCAATACGAGATAACGCCACCAACACCCTAGTTACCATGGTGAAGCAGTTTGGCCTGGTTACCTACGACAATGATGCATTCAGAGATTTGATCACTCAGGGTGTTCTGATAGAGATAAAGGCTGGCTTCAGGAATAAGAATGAAGTAAGTTGATAAGTATACAGGGACTATAAAGGTCTTTTTTAGCACATAGGAATAAATCCGGTTTCATAATTCTTTCTGTTTTATAGCTATATTTATTTAGCTTGGAGCTATGGTGTATCTTTGTGTTTTCTGTAGAATAAGATGCATAACACATCCCTGTGCTGAAGCTATAACCTACACAGCTGTATAATATTGTACTTTTGCCAACCTGAAAATGTGAGATATATATCTCTCTCTGATGATGCTATAAGCTACCTGGCTGTATAACTGTGTATTATGTCATCCTTAGAATGTTAGACATTAGTTATCTCTCTATTGTAGCTGTAAACTACCAAGCTGTTTAATCTGGTACTTTTGTTTTCTCCAGAATGTAAGACATGAGTACATTACTCTACTGTCAGTGCTGGTTGACACGTTTCCAGACCAACCTAATTTTGTCGACCTTCATGCACTCAAGGACAAAGACCTGGAAGCAGACTTCTTTGAAAATATACGTCACATACAGGTATGTCTGAACTGCTGTCCTTGTATGATAAAATATGTGTTAAATGCAGGTAAATCTGAATTGCTACACTACTTCATTAAGATATTTGTCATGTAATTAAATTGCTATCCTAGTACGCAAAAATACTTATATTTTCACACATTCTTTATGCTAGCATGCTTAACTTTACTTGTGTGATCAGTTAGTATTTCTCACATAATCTACATACCTTACAGATAAGGTGAATGGTTATTTTAATATCAGAAAAATCATCTGTAACAGGTTTATTACTGTTTTATGCAACCATGTATGTTTCACATCTACTAGACCCACAAGCGGTCCCGAGCGTTGCGGAGGCTGATAAAGTACATGTCCGGTCACCAGGCCTGTAGGGAAGCCATCATGTCCTACTTCCTGCCCCTGGCTTCAGCTTTCCTTCAGGTAGACACCTATACTAAGGCACAGGCCCTTCAGGAGGCTGCCATTGACACAATTGGAGCTGTATGTTTACAGTTACCATGGCAACAGTACCTTCACCAGCTGAAGTTTTATCTGGGTCGCCTACAGAAGGATCTGGACAAGCAGAAGGGACTTATCAGGTAAGGTGCACTTTGGTGTCAACATGTAAATATTGTAAGGTATGCTCACTAAGCTAATACTTGTTAATAGATGTTGATACCTGTTAATAGATGTTGATATCTGTTAATAGATGTTGATGTGTGTTTTGTGTTTTTGTTCAAGAATAAAACTTTCAGTTATATTGATTTGTTAAGTAGATTGGCACACCATTTATTCAGTTTTAAAGGATTTAAATCTGTATGTTGTATCAGTCTATTTAGAATACATCTGTGTTGAATAAGAGGTTCTATAAACACTGCTTGTTCATTGGATATTTCAGAGTAATAGTAGCCATCTTGGATTCCTTCCACTTTGATGTGAGTGCATCAGAACTGAATCTGACAAACCTACCACAATCCATCACTAAAAAGAAAGCCATTGGACTTCCTACGGGTGAGAACTGTTTTTCTAATACAGTAAAAAATAATTGCATTGTTATGTATAGTCACGACATAGCTTACATGTTGAACAAGGTACTGTGGTATTCATTTTGTCATGTATTTCACTCAAGTTTTAATTGCTGATATTTAATTAAGAACCTTTTCTTTCCTTTTTAGAAGAGAATGAAGAAGAACCGGAAACAAATTTAAATGAAAAGGATGATGAAAAGATGTCTGATGACATCGATGTTACAAAAGTTCCAGAAAGTGATGACATCACAGACATAAAACAGGAATTGATTACGTCATCTTCAGGGAAACTTGTGTGTCCAGCAGGTCTGGCCACTAAGATCCACACAACCATAGTGAAAGGCCTGCTTCCTCAGCTTCAGAAGTGTCTCACACAGAAGGTAGGGTCCTCTATATTAGATGGATAACACAGATTTTTTTCTAAATGCTTTAAGATTTGTATTTGATATATATATAATTGCCACAGGGCTATACAACTTCAGATTTTATGGTACTAATGTACTTTAGGTTCGGAGTGATGATGAACACAAGCTAGCAAAGAACAGTTATGCGGAGGACACAGAGATTCTAAGAGTTCCCCTCGCACTGGCAATGGTCAAGCTACTGCAAGCACTTCCCAAAGGCTCACTGGAGCGTAGTCTGCCTGGGTAGGTATAGTCACTACTGTCTACCAGGAATCACTTGGATAGATGATATATGGGGAGAGTTTTCAGAGTAGGTACATGTAAGCAATAACTAAAGAATACAAAAGAGAGATATTTATCTCCCAAAGCTGTAGAAATGGAGTATCTGCTTAATAATTTGTTTTTCTTAAACATTGAACAATATTATTAAATGGAAAATAATTGATTGGATGGTCTCTAACCAGGAAGAATTTGCTTATTAATGTTTGCATTTCCAACAAGTTACAAAAAGGTTTCTTTATACCCTCACGTGATCCCTTTGAGCAGCGAGTCTGATGGTAGCCTGTTCACGGACAGGTCATGAAGTAGGATCATTTAATCGTTTAGATTATGTACATGTAGGTCATAATATGAGTCAAAAATATCCCTTTCAGTACAGTTGTTATATTAGGATGTTATTTTCATGTTTATCATTTGATATTTCAGTATCCTTATCAAGGTGTGTAACTTTTTAAAGTCACGCGCCAAGGACATTAGAGACACAGCTCGAGACACACTGACCAAAATTCTCACATCATTAGGACCACGCTTCTTGCCGTATGCCCTGTCAGAGATGAGGGGTATCCTGACGCGTGGTTATCAGCTTCATGTTTTGACCTTCACTGTGTATGTCCTGCTCAGGAACATGATGCCCTTGACAACGCCTGGTGACCTTGACATCTGTTGTGGCAGTCTACAGGAGGTACTCTTTTCAACATCCTCTTTATAGTCACTAGTCAATACTCACAATACAGTTACCAGTAAACTATACACATATAACAGTCACAGGAGTATCATAAGTTTTCATGAAAAAGAAATCCCACTGATATCTTAACTAATTCTAGAGAGAACCAACAGGCTAGATATTGTACTAGTGGATCAGTAACATAAACAACAAATTGAGAGGGTAAGTCAATAGTGCTGTTGTCAATGGTAGGTACAGCTATCGAGGCAAATCGGTATGAAAAATTTATGTTAGGATATTGAAATTTTCTCTTAACTGCCAAAATAATTAAAAGCTAGATTTAGAATAAGATTCCTCTCCAGCTTATCATGTATTTTATATTCAGGTGCAGTATTTTGTTGTTTGTATGTCCTAAGAGTAATCTATTTCATACCTTTTAAGTACAATAAAGTCATGTGGATCAACCTTCCTCTTTGTTTATACCAGGTGTTTCACAACGAGCTGTTTGGAGAAGTGGCAGAGGAGAAGGATGTAGAAGGCATCAGAGCCAAACTATTCGAGGCCCGTAAAGTAAAGAGCTATGATTCCTATCAGATATTGGCCAAGCTGTTGGGCACCAAGTCACTGATACCATTTATGAAACCCATCAAACTGGTTAGTACACATTTTTCCTATCTTACAAGAAAAGATTTTCTTGTCATAAAATGTTTGAGTAAAATCTGACTGTTGATTTTATTTTATTTGACCATTGTTGAGAAGTTTGTTGGAAAATTATTGATTCCATTTTTCATGTGACTTTGATTAACATAAAGTATAATGACAGATGGACTCTATATAAACCTGTTAGACCTTATGTGACCTTATGTGACCCTATATGACACTGTGTGAACTTGTGTGACCTTAAGTGACCCAGTTTGATACTGTTTGACCTTATTGATCATGTACCTAAATCCTATGTCACTATTGTATTTATGTTGATGGAGAATGTTGTCACTGTTGTAATTTAGTTAGTGGAGAATGTTGTCACTGTTGTAATTTAGTTAGTGGAGAATGTTGTCACTGTTGTAATTTAGTTAGTGGAGACTGTTGTCACTGTTGTAATTTAGTTAGTGGAGACTGTTGTCACTGTTGTAATTTAGTTGATGGAGACTGTTGTCACTGTTGTAATTTAGTTAGTGGAGACTGAATATTTGAGATTTCTCTGATCTTGTTAATAAATGATATCATAACTCACGCGACCTTATACAACAATATGCAGCATTTCTTGACCTGTGAGCTTTTCTGACTTTGTATGATATTATTTGACGAGTTATGTGTGACATGATTTGAACATTTTAGTTTATACCACTTTATTTTACCACAATGACCTTTGTTTTTTGACCCCTGTCTGACCTTTACTGTAGATATTGGACACAACACACAGCCATAAGATGGCAAGGAAGGTTCAAGAAGTCCTCAGGAAGGTGGTCAATGGACTGATGGAGAATGAGAGCTTGACCACAGAAGCCTTGACCATCTTTTGTCATGGACTTGTGTCCGAGGCCTTCCCGCAGCTGTCTACCACTCAGGGGTGAGGATTAGAGTTTTCTGTGATGAATGTGACATATTTATCCCTTAGTCACTATTTACACTCACCCTAGTATATACATGGAATAATCACACTAAAAGTAATAACTTGCCACTGTGTTTTAATTTCATTGTTATGTATATATGATGTGTTTTTTCCTTATAGTAAAAATAGTACACAGAATAACCCAACCCCTACTGATGGAAAAAGAAAGCCCCAGAGTTGTCTTCTCTTACCTTCAACTCCAGTTCGGGGAGGAGACAAACCAAAGAGCAGCCAACGTACTAATGCTCACATTCTTGTAGAGTTTGGACTCCAGGTGAGTTTTCATTAAATCAAGTAACAAAAGATTTACAGTACAGTATTATCATTCCTGTGGACAATTCACTTCATTAAACTGTGTATTGTATATTTAGTAATGAGACAGTTATTTTACTAGAATAGAAAATCTTGCTATCTCACTTGTTTCTGGGTTCATTAAAATTGATCCTTATCTACAGTAGAGCAATGATTGTTGACATAGCATGTATTCATTACAGATAAACTGCTTGATCCATCTCATTAAGTAGAACTACTTTTGTACCAAGGACAGTTATTTGTAATCATGTCTAAAGCAATTAACGTTGATTTATCTCTTTAACTTTGACCTGTCTCTTTGACCCTGATCCTTTTGTTTAACCTTGACCTATCTCATTAACCTTGACTTACCTTAACTAATATTAAATCATCAAATCCTGTTAATTTGATGTGTCCAAGAAACATCAACCCAGCTGTTTAAATTAACATAGGTTTGTAATCCACTAACTTCTTCACCTGTCACTTTGGAGCAGAAACCTTGGCTGTATGACCTTCACTTACATTTGTAGTTGACCAGCTGTTTCTTCTGTGTGCCAGTAACATTGATTGATGTATATGACATTAATCTGGTTTTCATCTTCCAGCTGCTGCACCTGTCACTGAAGAAGGGGAGACTTGTTGCCACGAAAGAGGAACACTTACAGATGCTTGACCCTTTTGTGCCCATAATGTCTGAATGTTTACAGTCTAAACATGTCAAGGTGAGTGCCAGCTGTTGAAGTAGAGAGCTGTCCATGTTATTGATCTCTAAGAGTATTGAAAGTGGTAAAAGATCTCTCTCATGTTGGAATACAAATAACCACAGAATATCTCTGATTCCTATACTTACTATGACCTTGTATTTTGACCTCAAGGTCATCACAGGATGTCTGTGATGTCAGAGTTTTACTAGAACCTTTTATTGGTGACATCTTGTTAATAAGTCTGTCTGTGACATCTTTGTTTTACTGTTACTTTGAATAATAACCACTAGGTGACCTGTCAGTGATGGTTGGTTTTATTTTGACCTTGTATTAGTGACCTCTAGGTGACCACAGGATGTCTGTGTTTTACTAAGAAATTGTTTCAGTGACCTCTAGGTGACCATTCTGTCTGTTTTTTCTGTGTTTTACTCTGACCTTGTATTAATAACTCTAGGTTAACACTGTTTGTCTGAGATGCCTCTGCTGGATTCTGAAGTTCCCACTTCCAGCCATTAAACAACACATCCGTCCCATCGCGAACAATATCATTGTATTACTCAAGAACTACGCATCAGCAGGCTCGGCAGCTGGGGATAATCTTGACCTCGTCACCATGGCATTCAAGGTAAATAGTCACCATCACCATGGAATTCAAGGTAAATAGTCATCATCACCATGACATTCAAGGGAAATAATCTCCATCGCCATGGTGATCAAGATAAATAGGCTCCATCACCATGGTGTTTAAGATAAACAGTCGCCATACACATGACATTCAAGGTAAATAGACTCGTTTTCTATTGCATTCAAGATAAACAGACAATTAATGATATAGATGATATGTGAACAAAAGTGGTAAAATAATAAAGTGAATGTAATTGATTTATTTTATAAATGACAATGATTAACTGCTCTCTGTATGTTTATTAGGCAGTAACTGTGCTGGTGAGGGATGTTGAGTGTTACAAGATCAACTCAGAACAGCTCCAAGTGCTGCTGGGATTCTGTGAGGAAGATCTACATGACTACCATAGACAGAGCACTGCTTTCTCCCTCCTCAGGGTAAGACTACCATAGACAGAGCACTGTTTTCTCCCTCCTCGGGGTAAGACTACCATAGACAGAGCACTGCTTTCTCCCTCCTCAGGGTAAGACTACCATAGACAGAGCACTGCTTTCTCCCTCCTCAGGGTAAGACTACCATAGACAGAGCACTGTTTTCTCCCTCCTCGGGGTAAGACTACCATAGACAGAGCACTGTTTTCTCCCTCCTTGGGGTAAGACTACCATAGACAGAGCACTGCTTTCTCCCTCCTTAGGGTAAGACTACCATAGACAGAGCACTGCTTTCTCCCTCCTCAGGGTAAGACTACCATAGACAGAGCACTGCTTTCTCCCTCCTCGGGGTAAGACTACCATAGGCAGACCATTGCTTTCTTTCTCTTGAGGGTAATATATTTAGTACTTTCTGTAGGTGATAAAAGTTTCAAATTCAAAATTGTTTAAACATGACTGTATTTGTTGTCTGAATACATTGTGAGAATTCAGTAGTTTTGAAATAAAAATGTAACACTTAAAGACTGGCCGTTGCATTGTCATCTGTACCACATACCTGGTAATCCAGGGTGTTAACAGAGACTGTAGTTACTATTGTTCACGGTTGATACCATAATCCTTCCTTATTGGAGTGCTCTCAATGATTTAGTCCTGTTTTGTGATTCTAGGCCATATTGTCTCGGAAACTTAATGTACCGGAGATGCAGGAGTTGATGATAAAAGTCCAGAACATGTCAATTACAACTGATTCCCCCCACACAAGGAGGGAGTGTCGCCAGGTAAGTAGGTTTATACTAAGACTGGTGATACTAGTTAGAAGTGAGGTGTTGGCAATGACTTCTCATATGTTTGTTACCCACCTATGATGATGTTTATCTTACATACTTGTCTTATTTCAAACAGTTGAGTCTCCAGTACATGATGGACTACCCTCTGGGCAAGAAACTTATCAAACACCTGGAATTCTTCATCACTCAGCTGTCATATGACCTGGATGCTGGCAGGGAGTCTGCCTTAGAAATGTTAGCCACAATTTTCTCCAGCTTCCCTCAGGTAAGAGATTTCCTTTTGCTTTTCTCAGGTAAAATATTTTCTTCAGCTTCATCAGCCTTCCCCATATAAGATATTTTCTCCAGCTTCATTTAGGTACGATACTTTCATCAGTTTTCATTCATGTGCAATGTTTTTTCAGATTTCCTCAGAGGAAATATCAAAATTCTCCTTGTGAAATATTTTGATAAATAGTGTATTAAACTTGTCATACACTTAGGTAATATCTATCTCAAAATTCCAAATTCTTCTCTTAAATCTCTTTATTTCAGAATTATCATCTTATTTAGTTATAGTACAGCTGCTTCAAATATAAATAAAATATTTACAACATGACCTGTTTAATTGCCAGAATTGACAAATCAGTAATTGGTTTAAATAAATGACTTTATTTATGTTGAGTTTTGAGAATATGTAATGAAAAAAAAATTCTTTCTTTATCTATCTGTTTAAAGTGGTCACCACTGAAGAAAGAAGTTCAAAGTATTAATTGAAGTTTGTCTGCATTCCTATCTATATACTATATTCTACTGACCCATAAGTACATAGCTTATGGAAGAAATCCTTTCCTGATTGAACTTGTCAGACTGACTGGATAACACATAAGTCAGCCAGTTATATTTAGTCTTCGAATCCCAGAATTCTTTGCTCATAGCACATGTAATGATATATCCAAAAAAAGAAAGAAAAAAAAGCGCATGTGGAACGGAACAAGGATGGTATCTTCTGAAAAGAAGAGAAGACAAGATAACTTTTGCATGCTGTAATATCCCATTACCTTATATCTACACAGCAGAGAAATACTTTAAGGAGACGTCTTGCTATCATGGTTGTTAACAGATATTTACTATATAATTAAATCAATGTTACCATGTCCTTTTTGTCCCACATTCTCTAACACTCTTCGTTTAGTTGTTGTAGACTCATTTTTGAAAAACAATGTCACTGTTCTAGATAATACTTGAGATTGCACTATTCTTAGGAAAGTCTTCTGGTCAAGCTGGACACTCGGTCGTCCAGTATAGTTAAGGAAACAGGAATAGACATCCGAGATCAATATCTGTTTATGCAGGAAAATGGAAAGTTTGCCTTCTCTTTATCAGGTGGGCTGTGACTACCCTTAAACAATGAAAACAGTTTGATTCACAATGCATTTTCCCCTAGACAATCTCACATTTAACATCCTGATTGTCAAACTTTAGATATGTTTTCCTTCACTTTTACAGACCTTACTGATAAGGCATGCAGGTTTTTTCTTTGTGCCATTGTCTGTTGCCATGGTGAATGACGATTCCCTGAAATGCAGAAAGCTGACTGGTTTGGCTATCAAGTTGTTACTGGAAAAGGTATGGTATCAGGAAATGATTGGAAAAACAAGTATGATGTCATGAAATGATTAGTAAAATAAGTATGACATCAGGAAATGATTGGTAAATAAGTATGGTATCAGGAAATGATTGGTAAATAAGTATGACATCAGGAAATGATTGGTAAATAAGTATGGTATCAGGAAATGATTGGTAAATAAGTATGAGATCAGGAAATGATTGGTAAATAAGTATGGTATCAGGAAATGATTGGTAAATAAGTATGGTATCAGGAAATGATTTGTAAATAAGTATGGTATCAGGAAATGATTGGTAAATAAGTATGGTATCAGTAAATGATTGGTAAATAAGTATGACATCAGGAAATCAGAAAATAGTTAGTGAATATGTTTCATCAGGGATATAGACTAAATCATTCCCGTTATTTAACACAGCTTGTTCACATGGTGACTTTATTACAGCTGGACCATAACAGCAGAAATGAACTGTTTTCTATCGCCTTAAAGTGGTTTAAGGATGAAAAGGTAAGTCAGGAGGACTGCCTCAAACAGATAACAAGTAGTTAGTAATGATTCTGTCAGTACTGGTGTGCTGTTTGAAGTGTCACTTCTGATATTCAATATCTGATAAAGTATTACCTTTCTTTACTAAAATGGCAAAAAAGAAAAATCAGAATTGTATGTTATTATACTGCTGCAGAAATATATCAGAGTATAGAAAATTCAAAGAAAAGCAGTTTGAGATTTTGATCTGATTAATTTAGAACTAAAATAGACCATATCTTTTTGACGTTTTTAGTGTTAATCGAATATCTTGCAAATAAAAATATATATTTAATTGAAACGTGTTGTGGATCATTTGTTTGTAAAATATGTATTTGTAATAGATTGATTTAAACATGGTTTATCTTCATTGTTACAGCTGCAGCATCGATCACTAGGTGCTCAGTTGTGTGGTCTCTTTGTGGAAGTGGAAGCTGGTCAGTTTGAGCGCCATCTGAAAGATGTTTTCCAAGTGGTAAAGCTCCTCCTACAGCCCAGTCGTTATGAAAAAGTAAGATACAATAAAAATCATTTATTCCACTCTTAGATATACATTATTTACAAAGTAACCCCTCCTCCATTTCATACGGTTAGTGATTAAAGAAATCAATTATTATTATGTTTTGGGGGCAGGAGTCACAGTAGCTTAGTTTGAAAAGCCTTCTTGGACTATTCTAACATCAATGAAGGCTGAGGTGTGCGATTCAATCTCTACTCAGGACAATTTGTATTGCTTGGAAGGTTGAGAACACTGACTGTGTGGTGTTGTCATGGTTGTGTGGCTATGTGACAGGATAGACACTTCACTCTAAATGCCCTGGATGGCATGTGATAGGCCTTCTGCATTATGTTCAGTGATGTAACTACTAGCTACTAAAAGGAACCTCTGTCTCTAAGTAATGACAGCTGTTGATGGGGGCGGTTATGCTCCAGCAAACAAACAATATTGTGTTAGGTTTAGATGACTTTTTGGGTTATATGTTATTTGTCTGTGTCACTCTATGTTTGGTTTTGTCTCCCTAACACTAATCAGTCTTCTAACGGCCGCTGGTGTTTCTGCCATATCTATTCTATGTTCTATTGTTTTGTTTCTGCATTATTTACACAATATGATTGATTCTGTTAAATTCTCCTGTTACGTTGACAGATGCGAGAGGAATCGGTGGAACAAGAGGAGGATCATCTCTTGTTCAACATCTTAAACCTACTTCTAAAGGTGCTGAAGGAGTGTAATGTAGTCCGCACACCAAAATGGTGCCAGCAAATGAACACCGTCTGGGGTGAGTGAAGGATAATATGTTCATACATGGCTAAAATTTAAACTCATAAAACTTCATTTCCTAAAAAGATATTTTAAAATTAAATCTGTCAGAAATTGAAAGATTAGAATTTCATAGAGCACAACTGGTCAGATATAAAATACCGTTTTTATGGTTAATCATCTTCTGAAATGAATGAGTGACAGTTTTTACCTATAGTTACTGAATCTAGTAGTTTGCATTAAATTTGATCATGTGATTCATTTGTCTACCCCAGAGTATACCCAGAAGCACCTGACCCATCCACATAACTGGGTACGACTAGCAGGGGCCCAAATGTTTGGTCTTCTCTTTGCCTCCTGGCAGCCAGAAGAAATCCTATCAAAGGGGGACGATGATGTCATAGATTACTTAAGGGATGATATGAAGAACAAGGTAAAAGTTATTGGAGATAATGTATCATTGGTCAGACAAATCAAAATTAAACCTTGTTTCATAGAAAATGACAGAAACAATGTGACATTTTCATTTCCTTGATCACGATCCCCTGTGAATGTATTGATGTGAAATTAACCATAATTTCCAGAATTCTTATTTATATTCTCTAACTTGTTATGATGAATGGAATTTTCTGAAACAATGAATGTAATCTAATGAAAAAGTGAAATTTTATTGCATGAATTTGAAAATAATATTAAGTGATTTTTAAATGTTCACTTTGTCCCAAAAATGGCAAGGTTTAAGAGAATAGCTATGCTTTAGGTGAATGTCCTAGGACTTATAGGATTTCACTGTTTCACTGGCTATTTAAATTAACAATTATTTAATAAAACTTACCATGAGTATTATGTTACTGTTTTACTAGATGGAGTCGTTAGCCATGGCGTTTGTACAACAACTTCAGTCACAGTATTTGACAGACGAGATGGCTGACCAAATCATCAAAAACATGATCTTTATAAGTAGAGTTGCCAAATCAGTGACAGAAACAACACTTCAGGAGAAGACTGAGGACACCTCAGATACTGAGGGGTCAGGATCACAGTCCCAGGGGAAGCGACTCTCATTGCCTTGGCTTGTGAGGAAGATGGTGAGGGAGGCCAACCACGAGAGTGTCAACAACAGCAAGGTTACCATCAAGGTCAGTACATTATACTTATTTGTCATAAAATGTCAAGGTCACAACCCCAGGGAATCTGATTATTAAAGGTATGATGTTACAAACTTAGTAAATCTAGGTCAAATGTAAATGATTAAGTCTCCTATTCGAAAAAGTTAAAAATTTCATTCAGCAACTTTTAAGTGTGGGCTCAATGTCATGACATGTGGTTTATAACAGAATCTTTCACTCCCTTTGGGATGAAATATGTTGAACTCGGCCCAAAGGGAAAGGGAAGGTTGGCAAACATGAAGCCCTGGTTAAGATAGCTACCTCACCCTCAATGGAGGGAATGATAATTTTTTTCTCCTTCTTCAGGTTTCTCTTTACATGTAATGGTGTTATTAATGGCCATGCTTGGCATTGTAATGTGACGCTGTTGAATTGTTGCTGTATGTAATATATATCACTGTCTGGGCAAGGGAACCCCAGAGGGTATGACAAGGGAATGCCCTGAGGTATGAGAGGGGAATCCCAGAGGGAATGACAGGGGAATCCCTTGAGGGTATGACAAGGAAATGCCCTGAGGGCATGAGAGGGGAATCCCCAAGGGAGTGACAGGGGATTCCCTTGAGGGTATAAGGAAATCCTTTGAGGGTATAACAAGGGAATCACACCCCAGTAAAAGAGTAGATATATCTGTTCAGGGCAAGAGAAAATTGGTTTAATGACAAGCTTAAATTGGTTTTATATTGATCATACTATGCTATAGGTATTTCAACAGTAAAAGACTCTCAGTTTAAAAAAGTGTTTCAAGTATCTATGTAAGTATGTATAGCAGGATACTGATACAGAAAGTTCACAGTAAATCAGAAACATATTCAATGTTGTGTTTATAATGACTTTCAGAGGTCCAGTGTATTTAAATGGATGGCAGCAGTCAGCCTTGACCTTGGAGCAGAACTGTTGTCACCCGTGGCCCATATCATGATTCCACCATTACAAAGGGAGACAAACGATGCATCAGGAATGACAGGTAGACATAACTTATCATCCTTATCATAAGTATGTCTTAGGCAGCATGTCAGCATGATATAAACAGTTACTTAAATTTCAACTTCATGTGGAAATATGATGGTCAGTGAATCTGTATCAGTATACAGTATTAGATTATGTTCCTTACCTTTTGCCTGTATATTTTAGACCCAGCTATCAAGTCCTTGGCCCAGGAGGTGCTTGATCTACTGAAAAAGGTCCTGGGGGTGGAACAGTTCACAGAGGTCTATGCCAGTGTACAGAGGAAACGCATGGTCATGAAGGAGTCAAGGAAACGCCAAAAGGCAGTCGAGGTAGGAAGCATGGTGTTATTATTTTTTCATTTTTATTTTATTAATTTTCTTCTGTTTTTAAAATTGCATACGTGTAATTGTTTTATTCTTTGAAGATTTCAGATGACTAGTTTTTTTCAAATTTCTATATACAATGTTCTGCTTAATAAGTAGTTCTTTGAAACCAAATATTTTAATTTCTCTAAGCCAATACAACTGGTCTTACATGGGTAAAATAGGCGTTGAAGATAAAACATATATATAAAACTATTGATTTTGTTTATGTGATATGTATCCACAGGAGTCTTTAGGTCTATGACAAATCAACAAATAGAATCAGTGGAAAGGAGGCCATATTGTTTGATGTGATGGAAATTTCAAGAAAGACAGTTTAGTATCCTATACGTCCATATAAAAAGAAATTTTGTAGAAATAAAGCATGAATGTTTTTTGTTTTAAATATCAGTTGTTATTCAATTCAGTTATGTGTTGCAAAGTTTTGTTAAACACTTAGAATAGAGTTGTCTTCTCTTGGACAGGCTGTTTCAAACCCAGAGGCTGCTGCTAAAAGGAAAGTTAAAAAGAACTTGGCCAAGCGAGATGCAAAGAAACGAAAAGCTGAGGGATTCCGACCATCAAAGATCATAAAGAAAAGGAAACGAGAAGATGTTATCATTGAATAATAAAATCTATAATCTGTGATACTGAAACATAACTTGTGACCATCCTACTGTTAAGTTGGTCAAATACTGTGATCTGAGACAGTGACCTACATTTTAAGGAAGAGCTGGCACAGATACTGTGATCTGAGACAGTGACCTACATTTTAAGGAAGAGCTGGCACAGATGCTGTGATCTGATACAGTAATCTACATTTTAAGGAAGAGCTGGCACAGATACTGTGATCTGAGACAGTGACCTAAATTTTAGGGAAGAGCTGGCACAGATCCTGTGACCTTGGAGAATGGCCTACATTCTAGGGAAGAGCTGACACAGATTGTGATCTGGGCCAGTGGCCTACATTTTAGGGGTGGACACAAAATCTGTGATCTGAGGAAATGACCTAAAATCTTGGGGTTTGAAGGTTTTAACCTCATATTTTGTGATGTAGAGATGAGATCCAGATTATCTGGTTTGAGCATTTGTGTCTGAGAAGTGGGGGATTGACCCTGTTTCCATGATATCTGAGATTGACCCAGTTTCTGTTATTTAAAGTGTGACTCAGAAGGTGAGATGGCAGAAACTACTTGGTACAATGTGTGATGAGAAGGTTTTCATGGACTCTCAAGTCTTTGTTTTATTGTGTTAACATAAAAAGTGGCCTTATCAGCAATATTTCATCAGAAAACTGTAAAACCCTGTTGTTGATACTGTTTTCTGTTGTTGACTTTTAAGAAATGGAGCTGAACTAGTAAGAACATGTTAAGGACCTGAACAAGGAACTTGTTTTTAAACTTTAGCAGAAACCTGATTTTTCTATTCGTGATGATCAGAGATAGGAAATGAATTACTTGTGTTATTTATCTTTTCATTCATGGATAATTATCGTAACAAGACCAATGAAGTATTAATATTTGATTTTATTTGTAACAAAGCAGAGTCTTTATAATCAAGCCTCCCAGCAGGTTTTACGGAATTTGATCGAGTGGGACAATTTATACGATTAAAAGTTTAATCAGTCCCTAGAAATCCTGTCTGTAGTAGACTGACAACCTCCTCAGTGGAAAGTGATTGTCAAGACTCAACATCCAGGAAGATTCACCTTTTTGTTCTGTTGATAAAAAAAATATGAAGACTAAACCTGTGTTGTTCTTTGTTGACACTACAGCAATCTGCTTGAAAAATTATCTGTAGGGACAAGGACTACAGGATACTGTATTCCGTTGTGTAGTGTCTGTATACTTAACACGAGACTGAAATTATCTGTAGGGACAACATAGAACTTTAGGATACTATATTCTGTTGTGTAGTGTCTGTATAATTAACATGAGACTGAAATTATCTGTAGGGACAACATAGAACTTTAGGATACTATATTCTGTTGTGTAGTGTCTGTATAGTTAACATGAGACTGAAATTATCTGTAGGGACAACATAGAACTTTAGGATACTATATTCTGTTGTGTAGTGTCTGTATAGTTAACATGAGACTGAAATTATTTGTAGGGACAACACAGGCCTACAGGATACTGTATTCTGTTGTGTAGTGTCTGTATAGTTAACATGAGACTAAAATTATCTGCAGGGACAACACAGGCCTACAGGATACTGTATTCTGTTGTGTAGTGTCTGTATAGTTAACATGAGACTGAAATTATCTGTAGGGACAACACAGGACTACAGGATACTGTATTCTGTTGTGTAGTGTCTGTATAGTTAACATGAGACTGAAATTATCTGTAGGGACAACACAGGACTACAGGATACTATATTCTGTTGTGTAGTGTCTGTATAGTTAACATGAGACTGAAATTATCTGTAGGGACAACACAGGACTACAGGATACTATATTCTGTTGTGTATAATGACTATCTACCAGGGGTAATTTATCTTCACTAAGTATGTACTCTCTGCACTTTTTTCTAACAATAGAGATCTGTCTAACTTGCTATATGATGTGTATAGAGAAGTAAAACCATCCATAAGATGTGTGATACCTCACACTGTTGCCTGAATATAGAGTTGTCTTTCTTGGTCTTTGATCATTTAGACAGTGCTTTGTACACTAAATTTTCTTTTGGATATGATATGTTAATAAAAATCCTGTTTTAACCAAAAAAATCTCATAAGTTATATCGGGATACTTCTTCAGGTAAAAGACAAAATAGATTGTGAGTGTATTTCTGCCTCATACCAGCACTGTATATATGGCATAGATAAGGAAATTGATGCTCGTGTAGGGTCAGCTCAATGATGCTTCATTCAATTTACATATCAAGACTGTCATGTCAGCATTTACGTCATTGTTACTATAAATACTAGAGATGATTGATAAGTAGTGATCCTCATATTCGTGGGTTTGACTTTCTGCTGACATATTGCATTATTTTTCAACATAATCCCCTTCAGTATCTATGCACTTTTGCCAGTGATGTTTAAGGACCTCAATGCCACTTTTAAAGAAGTCCTTTCCTTGACCGTTCAAAAATCCTCCACTGCATGTATAACGTCATCATCTGACCGAAAGTGGGTACCGGAAATGGCATTTTTCAATTTTGGAAATAGATGAAAGCCTGATTGATCGAGATCAGGTGAATAAGGTGGATGCTCAGTTAATTCAAAACCACAGTTGTTAATGGCAGCCATGGAAATGACAGACTTGTGAACAGGGGCATTGGGCTGGTGGAACAACAAACCTTTATTGAGGTTAATATTTCCTAGTAACTGCCTAAGAAGTGATGAATTATATGTATCATTTATTATTTGTCCCTTTTGCAGATAATCTACCTTCAGAATACCACCAGCATCCCAGAAAACTGAGGACATAACCTTTCCAGCTGATGGAACAGTCTTTGCTTTCTTTGGCTTGGTGAACCAGGGTACTTCCATTGTTTAGACTGTTGTTTGGCCCTGGGGTGAAATGATGGATCCATGTTAATCCATAGTCACAAACCTCTGCAGAAAGCAGGATCTGCCTTTAAAAGATTCAGATAAGCATGCGACAAAGTCTGCCTGGTGTGCTTCTGATCAACTGTCCTGGTACCCAATGGGCAGATAGCTTTCTCAGTGCAAGATCTTTTATAAGATTGGAATGTACTGTTTCCTGTGAAATCCCAACTGTACTGGCTAACATCTCTCTGTAATTCACTTATCAGCCATAACAATATCATGAACTTTACTGACTATTTCTGGGGGTGTAACAGTGACAGGCCTTCCAGAACGGGCGTCATCCCCAAGGCTCTGTCTGCCACCCTTAAATTCCGCAACCCACCTTTACACTGTAGCATATGATGGGGCATCATTCCCTAGTGTTGCTATTGTATCAGTATGGATATCCCTAGGTGCTAAACTTTTCTTATGGAAATATTGAATCACTGCTCTTTCAGCGATTTTGTCCATTTTTCAAAAGTCACTTGCCTTGTTTACTTTAGAGTGGTATAAACTGACCAAATGACACTAGTCTTGAGGTACACAGCCTTAAATAGTCAGGGAATAGTAGAGCTGGAAACAGATATCCCTGTTAAACTTCTACAATACAGGATTCACAACCTACCAGTCAGCCCTCGTAGAATCACTCGCAGAAAGACCTTGCCCTCCCTTCATTGAGTGTAATTTTCCTTTGATTATCAGAAAAAAAAGTTGTGGTTCATCGATCATGTTTTCTCAATGATGTTTGTTATATAAGGCACTAAGGTCAACATCTAAGTAACCCTTGCTATTAATAGAGGCTCCTTTGTTCCTTATTTGGCCGTTTTGATCTTTGGACTGATCAGAAAAACAAGATGGCCAACAGGGGATCATTGGGTTTTTTTTTCAAAGTTTCGATCCTGTCTGAAAAATTGTTCTGTTAGATCTCTTTAAAACTTGGTACATGCCTTATCAGCATGTGAAGTTATGCTTTCTCAGTGGAATATGTTTCCATGTCTCTTTGATTTTGATGCAACAATGTATTTCATTGTAGCATGGCCTGTGGTAAACATGTTGTTTGCATGTAGCAGCTTTACAAATAAAAACTCTCTGTTGATTATCTTCAGGAATAATTAAAATAATTAGCACATTGAGAAGTATTTATTTTGACACCACTGGTAACAGTGGAGCTAATGCATCCATACACATGCTGTGAAAACTAACACTCATTACCCAAAAAATCCTTTACTTTATAGCAAGATGCTGTCAATGCAAACTTTAAGAGATTCTTTTTAATTGCAGTTAACTTTGTTTGAGGTATCCAGGAATTCTGAAACTACAGAGAAATCTAGAAAGCTGGGAGATAATTCTTTATCTTCGTAGAAGGATCAGTGCTTGTGTTTTAATCTTCATCCTACGTAATGGTGGTACAGGACATTACAGGTAAAGAGAATTGTCTGAGAGATAGGACCAGCATGATTTCATTCTGAACTGGCTATGTTATCTTGTATAGTGAGCCAATCTTACCATAACTTTGTACTGAAGAGGGATGGGAGGGATTAGATGTGTGTGATAGATTAGTGAAGTTATCTCTGTTTTACACACCTTTGGACATGATAAGTCAAATGGACACTGGTCAGTAACTGCTTGACAAGTGCTTACTTATTTAATCCTCTTGACCACAGCAGTTATATCAGGACTTTGACATTTCCTCTTGAGGTCAATGCTGCTTTGTAGATTCTGTAACATTACATAATCTGTTTATGTTGGGCTTGCTGTTAAAATCTGTTAACAGTTCTTGTGAAAGCTTTTTCTTGAGAAAAAAATTGCGTGGACTTTTCTGATATTTCTTAAGTAGATTCCCTATGGTCCCTAGTTGTATTGAATTTCAGGACAACTTTGTGAAAACAGATGGCTGACTGGCCTTTATGAATGACCTTGACATGCATTCCATGTCATGGGGTCCAAATATGTTAAAACAAATGACTGACTGGCCTTTAGCTTGCTAGGATGGAAAGCTGCCATTTTTATTCAACTAAATGACCTTGACACACTTTCCATGTCACCGGGTCCAAATATGTTGTTATGATAATATTATTAATAATAAGATTTGACTTGTAAATTAAGTGTAATACATGGAAGTGTTTTAATTGGTTTTTACCTCAGTACAATATCTAAAGGCCATCAATATTGCTCCACTAATTGGATTCAGTTGACTTCAAGGTTACTGAACGGAGTCTGATATGTCCACATTGCGTACAGTAATTATACTTGATCTAGTACTTCCAATGTCTGGAGTGATTAATGTGTATCGGATTTGTTGCTTGTTTGGAAAATTACTCTCAATTTAGTTTAAAGAAATGATATTGAGCCACTGTAAGGATTTCTAATGTGATGTGTAAGCTTGCTTCCTGTCAAGTTAGCATTATTACCGGTGTATCAGCTGAACAAATAACGAATATCATTGAGGTATCACACAGGAAACAACCTCACTGCTTGTTTTGTTGTTATAGGCACATCACAGAAGCTTTTCTAATGATGACTATGTTATAATTTTAGAATATATTTTTTAAAAAAATCCTAAATCTTGTTTCATCATGTATTTTTTCTATTGGAATAATTCCAGAATTTCCTTGAAATCCTTAGTTTGATGATAGACTGATGTTTCGTTGGTGGTTGATGATGGCCTTGGTAAGAAAATGATAACTTCCAATACTTGATGACATTCACAGATCATGACATTTTATCGACATATCCTATTGTGTTAATCTTCGCTACGAGATCTGCCAATTCATTCGTGTCAAGATAAATTTCCAGGAGGCTTTTTCATGGCAGATAAATAATTTTCTAAATTAATGTCTGATGGATCACAGTGTTAGAAGATATGTGGTAAACACAGACAATGCTACACATTGTTTTAGTCATGGAAAGAGACACAAACATCAGGCGGTGTTCATAGAACATCAGATAATGTAAATCTAAACACTGATGTTATTGCTGGAGTTTCGTATTTGTGAGGACGGAACTAATCCAATTTCAGTTGCATTGCTTGTCTGTCTCTTCCCGTATTTGCGGAAAAAATCGCAAACTAAAATAGTTGAAATATATTTAATTTGTGAAAGTGTTTGATCATCAATTTTAGAAATGAAGGGAACAAAAATGACATTAAACCCAGAAGTGGTGCTGGAATTACCAAGCTTGTTACAAGATAACATATGATA